CGACAAGTTGTTTTCCAAGTCCACAGTCACCACAACGCCTTTCAAGGCATGATCAAGATCAGCATCCGAGACGTCGTAAAAACGACAGAGTAATATGCGAAAGGTGATCATGAACCGCTCCCTCGGAATGCTCACGAAGAAACCTGACAAGTCTTGATTGTGCATAGCAGTTTTCTGTCTGTCCTGCTCAGGGCTGTGACATCGCTTCTCAAAGAAAGCATGTATGTTCTGCCAAAGCAAGATTGCATCGTTGTAGGATCGGGTGTGAGGACACACCTCAGCAACAAGCATTTCTGTGACTTTCGCCATCACAACCAAGAACTGGCGAGCCGGGTGAGAGGCAATACTAACGATTGGCCTGCCTCCTTTCCATTCTTTCTTGAACTTGGGGAGAATATAAGCCCATGACACACGGGCACTGCGAGATCCAAAGCGAAAGGGGAATGCTTCAAGAATCCGAGGTGGAACTGCATGTTCCATCTGAACCATGATCGTTGAGGGGTTTAGCGACAGTGGCTTGAAGACGGATTCAGCAGTAAAAGTGTTCTGAAGCATCATCCAATACTTCACAGGACAAAAGACATGTGCATGAGAGCCTTCATGGTCCCGGACATGCCACACCAATCCTTTGGTCCGTTTTCTCAACTCACGAACCTGATCAACCGACCAATGTGTTCCAACATGCTGTGAATGCAGCTTCCATGCCTTCTGCCACACACATCGAATATCAATAGTCGGATAATGCACCAAGCCGTGATGATCGATCCACTGTCTCACGTCATCAAGAAACATCTTCCAATGATCCGTGGCGGTCATGAATACCGGATTTGAGCAACTGGACTGGGCCAGCTGAGTCAGATCACGCGGCAAAGATAACAACGTGGCAGAAGATGCAATGTGACCCTGAACCACAGTCAAGTGTGGATGATGTCGAAGAAGCTCAGAACAACAACATGTGACACCGGCCTTCTGTGGTTCCTCATGCGGGTCCCACAACTGCAAGATTCGCTTGTGCGAAAACAAAATCTCTCTGATTTTGGGGTGACTTTTTGCAACAAGCGAGGTCGCTGGAATGTGGTACGGAAGCAGTCGATCCGACGAGACATCCAGAATATCTCCCAACATGCCACGAACCAAGCGTTTGAAGCCTGCTTCCGGTAACAAGAACGGAGTGGATAAGGGGCGGCATGTGGTTGGACACCTCAACTGTCGAAATTGCAGCACCGTGTTCAATCTGGACCGGCAATTCGTCTCATAGAAAGGGTCACCCAGATGAGTGGCCATCCGAAATAGTCTGTAAAGAAAATCCGAGTCAACTCTGTTGCTGCGCAAATACTTCTGAGCAAGAAAGGACTTCCACCCGTCAGAAGCTAAGTCGAACAGAATCTGATAGCTGTATACGATGTTCTGAACGATGTGTGTTGAGCGAAAGACCGATGGAGTCAGTCCAGTAAGCTGGACGTTCCAACGTCGAAAACGTCGGAAAGTTCTCCACGAAGTCACAAATCTGCGAACACATCTGACAGGATCGGAGTTGGCAATCTGTGCATGTTTTGCCCTTACAAGAGAACGAACCCAGGGAGCATTAAGGCGTGGCTGTAGCAAATTGATGAACGTCTGCTCAATTGTATGCAGACAGTCAGCCTGTGGGACATGCATGATCAACAAAGGAATGGCCATGTGATAATTCCGCCGTCGATAATGCCAGAACAATGAGAGTTCACCACATACAGACTTGCCCGCTCGGATCTGTTGGTATTTCCCCCATCTTGTACGCTCACGGTCACCCAATGTTTGGGATGATGATCCGACATACATGAATTTCTGTAACTCGGGCTGGAGAAAAGATGCGGCAATAGATCACCGACTGCGTCTGAAAGAATTTCCAGGTGTAGCTGGAGCATTTTAAACGAAGCTGAGAGGTCAATGGCAACTGTACAAGCCCGAACTCACAAGCAAGCAAAAGGAGTTTTCCACGAATCCAAATAACAATGTCCATCCATTGTCGTCCGAACATGGTGGGTGTCTCGTAGAGACCTTGGAAAAATAGATGAGCATTCCGAAGCAAATCCACTTCACTTCGGTGCTTTTTCCACCATCCTTGTGGTGGATTTCCACTGCGATATAGGTCTCTGGCATCCAAGATGGCCTGTAGTCAAGCCACAAGAATTGATCCGGCAGCAAGAATACGCAGCAAGGAATTCGCCTTAAGCGCAACAACCTGATCCAATTCGGCCTGCTCATTGGAAGGAAGGTCCGCATGCCATCGTTGCACATGAGCCGTCCATGTCTGAAGCTTCTGGCGATTGTTTTTGCTCAAATTCAATCCTTCAATCCATGTCGACACTTCCTTGTCCGACTTGCAAGCTTTCCAGCTGCGACTCAAGAAGTGACGTTTGGTTGGATCCGAGAGAACAATCTTCACAACTTGTCCAACATGCGAGGATGTCCCATACTCAAGCTGAGGAGCAGAGCTCGAATTTCCTGGGCTACGACCTTGGGTCTCAACTTCATCGTTCTCAATGCTCAACGGTTCTGCCTGGCTCCCCGATGGTTTGCCTTTCTGGAATGCCTGCATGAGATTACTTTTGGGTTCACCAGTCTGACCACGAAGAAGACGGGTTGCACCATCAGGAACTTTCTGAGCTGAGGGTGCAGACTCTGGTACACGTCCCGGGGGGCTTTCTTCAATCGGCAAAGTTTTCTGTTCTGCAACATCTTGGTTAGAAGAGCGGGAAGGGGAGGCATTCTCGAAATTCGCAAGTTGTTGTTGAAGAATCTGAATCTGATTCGCCATGGCTGCCTTCTCCGTGTCAACCGAGGCCTGAGGATACAGCCCTAGCATGTAGTCAACAACCTTCTGCGCCAGCAAATGTGTGGCCTGCGACTTGGAATCCGAGCCACTGCTCTTGGAAGCGGGATCATTGGTACCAAGCACAATAGAAGCAAGCTCATCCAAGTCGACTTCTTCATCTCGCAACTTTCCGAACAGTGCGTGACAAAATACAACTTCACCAATCGACTTGAAACCTGCGAAGAAAGTCGGCTTGCCTTCTGCAATATGACGTACCCAATACGAATTCCAGCCTTGATAGAGCAACGAGTGAAGCGGTATCATGTGGGTTGGACATCCGTCAATCTGCTTTCGAACTGTCCAATCAGTCTTCTTGACCCAACGAGCCAAGTTCAAGCCTGCAATACAGCGGGAGTCCAAATAGTTCGGATTCTGGCAGAACTCGGCAGGTAGCATCGGGCCGAAAACTCGAGGGGAGTTTGCAGCAGGTGGGGAAGGGAGACCGGGGATGCGGGGGGTTGGCGAAATGTTCATAATCTGAGCGATCCGTGGGTTAGGTTGCCACGAAAGGTTTTGTGGCTGAAGCACTGTCGGTCGAGTCACTGGTGGGGCCGGACGGGGTGTGGGGTTCTGCCAACTCACCGGGGCAGGTGGGACCGAAGCAGGCAGGGAGGAGCTCCAGTAGGGGTTACGGCGTGGGGAGCGCTCACGATCCATGGCAGGGTGCAGGAGCAGCACTTGAATGCGAGTCTCAAGCCAGAAAATGCCTAAACATGAAAACATATGCAATTGTCAGTGATCTCCGGACGCCACTCCACTCTGCTTTCCGGAAGTGTGATTTCCACTCAGTGATCTCCACTTGAACATGTTGTGAGACGGAAATGATCTCCAGAGCTGCTAACACAAGAACCCCGGTGGGCCGGCAACTTCGCCGAATAGCGACAAGGCCCTCGTGAGGGAGCTCTTGCCGAACACAACTGAGGAGGCTTTCTGCAGTCCCACCTTGTTGATATAGAGGTCATCGTACAGGACTTCAAAAGATATGTCCTCCGAGTTTTCAGAAAGAGAATAAACTGTTCGAAACTGGCATGTTTTGAAAACACATGTCCGGACTTGCAAACCTGCCTTGTTCGAAGAAGACTGTTTTGCTAATCTCGCTGGCTCAGGGGCCCCAGCTTTTTTGCAGGTACAGGCTCACACGTCTGTGAGCCCATCCAGTCAACATCCATAGCTTCGTTGGCGTGGCTAGGATGTGACCGCCACGCCCCCTGCGAACTGAAAGAAAAAACGACAGAAAAGAAAACCATGAAAAAGGAAGCATGAAAAACAGGGAATTTCCATGAGCCAAAGCATGCAGCAACAGAAGTCTTCAGAAAGGAAAACGTTAAGAAAGCGGACATGTAAGTGCAGATTTGTCGCATGTACAGCAGAATAACACAAACAGTGTCATGAACTCACACCGCAAACGCTATACTGGCGCATGTCGGCGCATTGGACCCAGAACCCGAAACCTTGAGCCAAGACTTGCAGTTTATGGAGAATCCTTTTGTTGTGTCGCTTACTCTTGCCTCTGTTGTGGACCTCATCATTTCTCATCTTGAAGTGTTGTTGTCACGAAAATTTACTCCTCCACAGACGGTGGTCGACGGGTTGGGCAAATTCATTTATGTTTAGATTACTACAGCCGTACCAAGGCAGTAGGTGTTCAGAAGTGTAATCAGAAGTGTAGAGGGCGAGATGATTCGTTTCGAAATCGCACACCCTAAACCCCAAACCGGGGCTTGGCAGTCGGATTTCGCATCTCGGAGTTCAGACTCTACAGCGGTTTAGAAACTGCATTCCTTCATGGATTGTATAGGAGCCTGAGTAAGAAACCGTGGGCATTTATAAGGGTTCCTTATCTGCACGTGGGGTTCTAGGGCCAGGATTTCTTCATCAAGATCCTACATTATGAGCCGCTTGCCGAAAGGTACATGTCGCGAGTTTTGTCAGACATGCCAAGGCCTGTAGATGACAATTCGGCCGAGGCAAAGCAAGCAGCAAGCCAGACCCTGGAGAAATTCCCAAAAGCCTAATACACGGACCTTAATAATTACCTATACTATTTTGGGGTTCCGCAATGTACTTAGGGTATAATATACCTCCAGTCTTGATTGCAATGCCAAGCCTGTCCTCGAAAACCCCTAAAACAAAAAAACAGATGCAGGCAAGCTCCTCTTGGAGCCAGGTCGGACCGGGTCTTTGCGAAATCCGCTCTGGGGGGCCACAATACGTTAGTGCTCTTAGGAATCATTGAAAGCGTGCTCTAATGCCGACTTTAAGGGTTCTATTATTATGTAGGGGCCTTAATAATTAGAATAGGGTTTTGGGCTCTTTCCTAGTATAGCTATGAGAAACTCCAAGAATAAGCTTGGTAATTGTCCCAGACATCTGGAAGGATGCCAACAGTAGATCCCTTAATTTTAAATGCGCTCCTGCAAGGTACCCTTTCGTTGTAGAGGAGCCCAAAGTATGGGTTCTACTTTCTAGATCCTCCGCGGGTCTGGGACAGGGGTCGGAGTCTTCGTAATACTATGTTCCGTACGAAGGTTCTCTGACGGGATCTATAGAGGTCTATATTGTGGTTCGTTGAAGGGTCTACACTGTTTTTTACGAACGAGGCAATTCGGCTTTTGACTCCTTTGCATGATAGCTGGCGACCGTGCGAACAATGGCCACAAAGGGAGGATATTACGTAGTTCCCGGTGGATAAAGCAAGAAACACCGACTACGAGAAGGTGGTGGCAGTTTGAGCTGCCCAGAGGAGAAGCGGACTTTGTGTGAGAATGTGGTGAAAGTGCAAGGTGTTGATGAGCTCTTGAAGGAGACGGGTGTAGGGTTCTCTGCTTTCGTTCTTTTTGTAGAAGGGAAGTTCCCTCAAAAGGTCACTTTGAAGACATTTGCTAAAGCTTCTACAATACTTGGAGGCATCGGAATATTCACCAACAGTGTTCCGTAACTTTCCTTGCTAGTATTGGATTACCTTTCTTGCCCCAAAACCCTGTTATAGTGAGCCATTGAGCCCCCTTAGCAGAATTCCAAACCCACAGGGAGGATCTACAAAGTGGATCAGCTTAGGGCTCAATGTTTAGGAGGGAAGTTGTCCCTCACGGAAGTTTTACCACAGGGTATCCCTTGGTAGCACAGTGTCCCAGAACTGGGTACAGGGACATGGCCTGCACCAGCGAACTACCCTAAAGCTCCGTCATAGTTGGATAACATTTCTCATTTTGATGGGTATTTAAAACCCAATAAGGAACAAGATTCAAATCCTTTCTAATGTCCCAACGATGAATTAGAAACCCTAAACCCCAGTGGACACAATTAGCCCATGTCCTTTCCAGTGTTGAGGCTTTATATCGAGACTCCAGTGCCCCAAGATCGCTGCCCATGTGCCTTAGCCTTCTGCTTCCTGCCGAAAGGCAAAAGCCGCGGCGGGAGATCCTCGACCCCAGAAAGCCTAAACCCTAAACCAGAAAGGGCTTAGGGTTTAGGATTTGGTGTTCAGCTCCTTGTTTGAACCCCACAGACTACAGCAGGTATACAGCTGCAGTCCCAGAGGCAATTAAAGGGCTTTTGGTTTAGGGTTGACCCTAATTCCAAAACTCCTATTGCTCACAAAAGTTAGTTCTCCAACACCCAAGCGCTGTAGCCTATACTGTTGAGCTTTTGCAACGTAGTAGGATTTCCTGGCAGATTTGTCAAACCCTAAATCTCTGAAACCCTCCAGCAGCACCTGAAACACCTGAATCGTCAGCTCTACCCCGTCCGGGGTACATCCCTGGCAAGAAAACTAAAGCTATACAGAACCCGAAACCCTTGCAAAGCCTCTAGGAAGCCCCCGTAAAAAAAAGCAACAAATACAAGCCTTGAAAACCTTGTGGAAACTTTTGAGAACGCTAGAGAAACCTTGTGAGACCCTGCAAAAGCTGAAAAACCCGTATTGAACCCCATCAACACCGAAAATTCCTAGTTCTTGCAGGCTACTTCTCTACACCGGAGGAGGGTTCAGGGTCTAGGGTTTATGCATGGAGTCATGTTTAGGGTTATGTATAGGGTTTTGTGGTATGTTCTCATCGCACTTTATGGAGACCACAGAGGTTTATGATTGTTGATTTTTCGGACGTTTGTGTTTCGCTTTGCACAGGGGTTCTGGTGGGTTCACGAACTTGTTTGGAGTGGTTCTTCAAGTTTTTACGGTTGCCATGCGCATCCAAGGGTAACGTGTCTTTTGAACAAAGCAGGCGAGCGCGTCGGCGCAGTTTCCAATTGTAGGCTATATTCGGGGTGTAGCTGTAAATAGGTTCTTCAAATTAGGGGTGCTGTTTTACGTGCCTTTATTCTGCCGATTTGCTGCTTAGGGTTTGCACTGGGATCCCTCATATTCTGAATCTCCCAGATGATCTACGTTCAGTATATCCTGGAGAATGGGGTCTTGGTTTTTTCTTGTAGTTTCGGTGTACTTACACCCTAAAGCCTTGGCTAAGTACGCTTCTGCGCTTTTTCGTCTTGGGCTCCCTCACTAAACCCAATAAGTTGGGGGGCTACTGTCATAGGGATCCTTAGGGGTGTAGGGGGGAGGGGTGTAGGGGACCATATTTCCTTTAATAGGCCTTATTAGTCCTTATTATGGGCCTTAAGGCCGCCTACCCCCCCTCCCCCTACACCCCTAAGGATCCCTATGATACTGGGGAACCTGGAAATCAGACGTCTCCCGAACCTCCAAGCAGTGCATTTACCATTTTTGGCCCCTGCGCGGCTGCGCGTCTTGCGGAAGCCCTTTCGCAAGGTTCAGTAAGCCATGCGGATTTTGGGGCGCATAACTCATACTGACAGTCGCTGATTTCCCAGACCCCTGAAAAAAAAGAGAAAGACAGTAGATCCCAATATGTGGTCTCCAAATTGAATAGCCCTGTGAAGCATAGGATACCAAGTTTGGGTGTCTACAGCCCGGATCCTCCTGAGCTGAATGGTTAGGAGTTCTACTTGCAGGTTCATGGGACTTAGTAAGCACATTTATAAGTACTTTAACTGGGCTGTATAATTACCTCGTTCAAGACCCTACTAAGTCCTATGAACCGTACCAAGTCCTATGAACCTTTAGGTAGGCTTTGCTGCGAAGACCCACAAGCACAGGGGACCTGATTCTTTGATGTAAGGCTCCTGCATTTGGGTAAGGCGGCATCTGTAGCACGGCAATACTGAATACTTCTCTGACGGCTACTGGAGAGCAGTGAGCTAGAGGGTTTTTCGAGTTCAAGGCTTTTGGGTTTAGAGCTTGAGAGTTTCCTTAGCCATAGTTGGATAGCATTTTACATGTTTATGGGTAATTACACCCAATATGGAATTAGAATATAGCTTCTTAAGACTATACCAACCATGAAACCCTAAAACCTAAACTCTAAACCCTAAACCGGGGCTTAGGGTTTAGGGGCATGAGCTCTCGAAGTCGACCAGGATCCCGGCTCCGTCTACCGTTGCTTCAGCAACACTATTCGATGCCCTGGGGGGGCGTCTTGGCTTGGGGTTTTAGGGTTTAGGGTTCATCCCTGCTCAGACCGCTTACATGATTCAAAAACAGAATCCCAAACAAAGTATCGTACCACTTTATGGCTATGAAGACAAGCCAATTTAGGGGATCTTTTGGTTAAGTCCTTTAAGCGGGGCATGCGCTTTCGACTTTCCCACATCATTGAACGGATCTTGATGGTAGATTAGTGAGAACCTCAGCAGAAGGCACATCTTAAGCCATCTAATGATGGTAGGATATCTGTATACGTGTTAGGGATCCAGAATTCTAGGATTCCACCCCCGGATTTCAGAAATAACGAAGGCATTCACAAGGAGAGCTGACTTTAGGGCATAAGGCTGTTGGCAGCATGTTATCGGTTCATTTCTGGCGGTCTCAGGTCTTAGGTTTAGTGCTGCAGAAGCATCGCGACATGCGGGTTCATGTGGTTGCTTATCAAAGTTATGGTCCCCTTTGGGTCCTTGTTATAATACGGCACCTCATATTTAGGGTACCTAAAAGGAGCCATAATTTTGACAACCACCCATGTCTGAAAGAGCCTCATTGCAAAACCCTCTACAGCTAGCTAAACAACTCTCTCTGACCATTTTATTCCGAAGGACCCTTTGAGCCTCTTCTGTTCTCCTAAACCCCAAAGTCCTTATATAACCCCTTTAAAGCCCTACCATGCACTACTATTGAAAAGCTCTTCAACACCCTAAACGCCAAAACCCTAAACCCCCTAAACCCGAAACCCTAAACCCCAAAAAAACCCTAAACCCAAAGCCCTCGTCAGATTTCAAACCGCAGCCAGTTCGTCCCATGGAGCTAAGGAGCCTGGCACGTGTGCATTTGGCCGGGTGCGCCTCCTGCAAGTTCTTTTGACCTTTAAGCCTTTAAGGGTGTAGGGTTTCGGGGGTTTTCGGTTTAGGGGCAGGGTTTAGGGCCTAAACCGTAGGGGGTTTTAGGTGTAGGGGTCGGGGTTTAGGGGTTCCTTCAAGAGGTCCTGTCAAGGTCCAATTGAGGGATCCTGTAAGGGTTACTGTAAGTGGCGACCAAAGGCAGGAAAGGGACCCTAATTTAGAGAATTACCACCCCTCTCGGGTCTTGTCGGTATTCAGGAATCCAATGAGGATTTTTGGAGGTTTGGAGGCTAGGTCACATACTGCGGGCTTTGCCGGGCTTGTTGCGGCCAGGATCGCCCTCGCACGAAGACCCTTACCCCATCGAAAAGAGAACTGTCCGCGCAGACGGCAGCCACTCGCAATGCCAACCGGAAGTGCACCTTAAGCCCGACTCTTTCAAACCTTGCACACCCAAGCCGTGCTTTCCAAGTCTGCGCTGGTAGGACACCGAGAGCGTCAGCTGCAGTGCATGCTTGCCTGGACTGCATGCCCGCGCCACCCGGCAGAAGAAGAATTGAGATTCAGGGTTCTTTAGCTCTCCATTGCCTAATCTTGAGAATACCTAGGGACCTAGTCCTTGCGATTTGGCACTGTTCTGAAAACGCAACCCTTGTTTGTTTGGGATATTGGGGAAGTAGGTTTAGGGTTTCCCGTGGCTACGAGTAAAAGACAGCGCCACAACCGTGAACAGCATCATCCTAAACCTCACTCGTCTTCTCCACCGCCTTCAACAGCATCCTCAAACCGTAATTGTGATGCCTAACATCCCAAATCTCTACATCCCAAACACCCTGAACCCTCTAGAGCATGAACTCAAGAAGCCCCAAACCCTATATACCAAACACCCTCAAGCTTCAAGGGCCCCCACATTTTACGCGCGCCTCCCTGCGAATGCTTGGAGGATCATGGGACTTAGTAAGTAGGGTTGTAAGTACCTTAATTGCGGGTATAAGTATACTTATCTCAAGTATAACCCTAGTTACTAAGTCCCATGACCCTTTAAGTATTCTAACCCCCTTCTAGAACCCTTATAGATCCCTTTAAAGGAGCCCTTATAGAACCCTTAGTTACTAAGTCCCATGACCCTTTAAGTGAGGACGGCGTTTGCGTGGAGTGCGTCGGCGGAGACTACGCCTTGGTCATCACCTTCGGCATCCTCGCAGTTGCTGGGCTAATGGTTTCGGGTTTGGGTTTGGGGTTTGGTTTTAGGGTTTAGGGGGTTTAGGGTTATATAGTTTCTGAGCTCAGGGTTTCGGGTTTGGGTTGAGGGTTCAGGGTTTAGGGCTTCGAGTTTAGGGCTTCGTAGCTGAGTGGATACACTTTACACTTTTTGGGACAATATTACCCCACTATAAAACTAAAAGTGTACACTTGTGGGGGCTCAGCAACTACGTAGGGTTTGGGGGTAAAGGGGCTTTGAGGGATCTAAAGCTCGGGGTATCGAGGTGGGAGAACTGTCAAGTTATTTCCCTTATTGCCTATGTAGAGCCGTAGATATTGATACTTGTGGGAACTGTTGAAATCGACACCAGGTAGGGAGAGAATCCTAGGTAGTAGTAGGGAGACCCCTTAAAGGGAACCCTTCTTAACCCTGCTTCTGGCTCTCTTAAATGGGACCTGACTGAGAGGGTCTATATCCCCAAATGTTCCCCGTAATCCTAAAACCTATTGAAGGATCCAAAAAGTGTGGTGTGGTTTAGGGCTTCCTTTAAAGGATCACGAAAGTTAAAGCCTTGTTTCTGAAGTTGCTAGTGAAGCCCTAAACCTCAAGCCCTAAGTACGTCTAAACCCTAAACCCTGGCCGCAACCCTTAGTACGGGGGCCTAAAGAAGTAGCTATACTATTTTGGTGATGCTTATGGTCACATATACCCCCAAAACCCTATTCCAATTATTACGGCCCCTAGATCAGCCCTAAACCGTCGTGTTAGCAGTGAGTGGGGCTCTACTATTTGCTTAAGAACCCCCAAAAAATAAAAATATATATTCCTTATGGGGGTAATATAGGGATTATTACTTTTATTTTTTGGGGGTTTCTTAAGCAAATAGTGGGGCTCTGAGCTTTGGAGTCGAAACGTGAGGTCTGCCTAGCAAGTCACAACATCTCCGTGCTGCCGGTATAAGCTTACTACGGTTTAGGGTTTAGGGTTTAGGGTTTAGGGATGCCGGAGACCTGATTCTTAGTATTGAGGGCCCCCAAAATATTATTGCTTCAGAGAAAGGTTTACAGAACTTGGAGCACAGATTAAGGATGGCTCACATCAAGACACCGATGTTACCCAAAATTGTGCTTAGAGTGCGTCCTCTCCAAAGCTCAGTCTGTCAGGTGGGAAGTATCCCTTGGGTACTGCCCCCACGTAGCAAATGTTGGATAATCTTCATAATATCGAGATATAAGGACCTTAATGGTAGCCCTATTATAGACTGTTACTGTATGGGGGGGGGCCGTACCCAAAGTATCCCAATCCGGCCGCTCCAACCCCAATCTTTCATGTCCGTGGCTGCTACTTGGAGGATCATGGGACTTAGTAATTAGGGTTATAAGTACCTTAAATGGGGCTATAAGCAATTATAATTATAGGTATACTTAAGTATAAGCCTAGTTACTAAGTCCCATGACCCTTTAAGTAAACCCTGAACCTCCACCGACGAGGTGTGCTGCATCGCTGTCCTGTACTTGGTATTGACGCTGGGCTTTTTCAGAGATCATGGACTGAGTACGTGTAGGGGTTGTGCAGGTTCTCATGTAACACGGTTGAGTGGTCAGGATTCAGGAGGTGGGGTAACTTGGGAAGTAGATTAAAATTCCAGGAAAGCCCCAATGAAGGTACATCCAATCCCGAAACGATTTCACTAAGCCTGAAGCCCGCGAGCCTAAATCCCTAGACCCTTCCTAGACCCTTATCCCGAAATCCTTGAAACGAGTCCCCAGGTCCTTCAAGCTCGTTCATGGATTGGGGGTGTGCGGTCTAAGCTTTCTGCTTTCGGGTTTAAGGTTCAGGAGTTCATGTAGACCCTTGATTAGTAACCCCTTCTCCTGAAGGGCCTTGATATCAGGATCCCTATGTTAATCGTGTTCAAGGGGATCTCTTGATCGGGAGTGTTTCTGGGGTCCGCAGGGTTCAAAGCTGAGGATTTTAAGTTTCAGGCTCTCAGAGCTTTGAGCTTTACGACTTGAGGGTTTGGAGGACGGCAGACCATGCATGACAACGAACGGATCTTGGCACAGCAGAGGTCCCAGATGGCAGTAAACGAGCGGGCCACATCAGAGCAGAATTTCCAGTTGGCACGCAAACGCCGTGGGGATCATGCGACAGAGTTTCATGCGCCTGAGAGCGAGACAAAAGCGTCGAAGGATTCCTCGTAAGTCCCGCCCAAGGCACGTCAATGAGGATCTTGCCTGGGTGCAAGTGGCTGCTCTTTCTTGTCATCTAGATCTCCACGAACCAAGGAACCTCATGACATTGGAAGTCGGTTGCAAGTCAGAGCCGTGCTTTCGAAACATGCAGACTGGCCGATTCATTCTCGTCTCTGCGTAATCTTGGGGACGCACAAAGACAGCAACGACACAAATGCTTTTGCGCGAAGTCGATGCAAACATCACGGACTGCTGAAGCTCCATGATGAGGCTAGGTTGTTGCAGCAGGGAAGAATTCAGTATCATGTTGTGACCTGAGACATCAATCTCGAAGCGGTGGCCTTGGCATCTTCACTCGGGACTGCTCCACTGCTTGGGCTGCCATGTGAATCCAGTTCAACTTCTCCGACCATTGCAGCGAAATCCATGGATGGGGCGAGACCTCATGGCCTTGTCTTGTCTTGACAAACAAACTATAAGGGAAACGACATCAGTGGCCAAGCTTTCTTCTGTAGCGATGGCGAAAGGTGGGTTGAGGGTTTGGGTGCATGAATCCAAGACCCAAAAGCCCCAAAACCCCTAAACCCTAAACCAAAAGCTTCAAAACAACCCTGAACCAACAGCCCCGAAACCCCGAAACCCTACACCAAAAGCCCGAAGACCTACCTTTTCATCTGAGCCCTGAGGCCTTCGACCTTCAAACAGCTATAGTAGAAGCCAGAAAGTTGGGACATCAGACTCCTCATGCCCTTAAGGTAAAGTATAAGCGATTCTAGCACTAATCCTCCTAAAGCCATGTTCCAACTTTCTGGCTTCTACTATAGGCTAGCAGCTCGAACATAGAACATCGTGAACTAGAGTACCTCTGCAGTAGTATAGCTCTTCCTACTACCTACTAAGCCCGCGACCCTGCATGCCCAGAAACCCGCAGCCCTCAACCCTAAACCTTCACCCTAAGCCCCAATGCACTTTTTTACAAAACCGGAAGCCCTTCACCGCAAAACTTAAAGCCTAAGCCTTTTCCCCTCAACTCTCGACCCAAATGGGAGTTTCCCAAAATAGGGGACCCGAATTTGGTGCCTTAAATAGTAGGATCCTCATTATAAGTACCCCAACATAAGGTACCCCCTATTTTCGGAAGCTCCCAACTATTCCGCCGGTCATTTCAGGATGGGCGAAGGGCAGAAGAGCCGACAGCCAGGTCCTTTTTTTGGGCCCGTGTCAAGTAAGGTTTCAGGTTTGGGTTTAGGAAATGGGTTTGGGTTTAGGAAATGGGTTTGGGGTTTAGGATTGGGGTTTTGGGTTTGGTAGGAATTAACGGTTTGGGGTTTAGGGCTTTACAAAGCCTCCTGTGGGTGTGGTCTACATGCGTTTTCGTAGGGCATGTTCAGCTTGGGTGCCTTAATGGTGGATTCTTGCAGTACGGATACTACACTTTGGCGCCTGCACCAGGGAGATCCCTTAAGGTGGTTCCGATAATGTACCACGGGTTTCTGAGTCCGCGAAACTCCCATGTGGGCGAGGGCTTTACCAGGGCGTGGGTTCCTAGGCTTTACTGCAGCTAACATTACTGTCAAGAGGTTCCTACTTAAGAGTGACTTAGGATGTTGTAAAGAAGTCATATTATGGCCTCTGCTGACGTCATTGGCAATGTCTTTTTGCGGGCTTATTAGCAATGTTGATAGTGATTACTTAGATCCAGGGCGGTCTTCCGACCTTTGAGGGGGTTTTGGCTAGAGGTCGTTAAGTTTTATAAGTTTTGAGGTGTTTCCCGCTACAGAAATCTGTTGCTCAAAGCTTGGAGTTCGGAGTGATCCACTACTTGGAGGGTGGGGGACTTAGTAACTGGTTATTTTAGGGACTTATAAGTATCATAAACCCAATTAAGGCCCCTTTAAGGTACTTATAAGTCACGATAAGTCTACTTACTACCTACTTACTAAGTCTCCCGACCCTCCAAGTAGCTTGATTGTCTGCTCCTTCGGCACCACATGAACCTTCTGCTTTAAGCTTGGAGTGGGCCGCCATGTTGATGGTCTCTTATCGTCAGCTGCTCGCTTGTTTAGGGCCTAGGCAAGCGCTGGGCTTCAAAAGTCCTGACGATCGACTGCTAGGACCTAGAGTAGGCCCTTATTCCCTTTTTAAGGGTTCAGGTTCCTTTACAAGCCCCTTTAAACCAAAAAGGGCACCCTTTTTATTCCTAGGGTACTCTTGGGTCTAGAATATCAGAGTTTCTACCAAGTCTTTGCAAGAGTTGTAATATAAGGGCCTTCATGATTGGGATACGATTGCTGTTGTATTTTCGAGTTTCGTTATAGTAGGGAACCCTGAAGAAAAAAATGGTAGTGATTTAAACGGTTCTTGCGAAACAAGCGAACCCCTGACAAATAGAGTATCTTAAGCCACGCAGTAGTCAGATACCTTTTTGCGGCTGTCTATGCTGTAAACTTTGTAATCCCTTTCATTTAGGTTTGGGCGGGAACCATTATCCTAACTGGGTTAGCGGGAAATCTAGCGTGTCAGGCAAACAAGGCAGGATTTCGGAAATGTGCTTGAGTCTTCGGGCTGTGGGCCTTCATCGAGGGATGCAACCACGAGTGGCTGCAGTCTTTACCCCGAAACACAGCCGAGAAAGACTGAAAGCTATTTTTTGCGTTATTGTGTCCATGTCCATAAGTATTCAAAAATAATCATCCTAAAGGAATCATGCTACCATAAACCCTAAACCCATGGGAATCATATAACCCTAAACCCTGAGCCCTAAACCCAAAGGAATCATGTTACCCTAAACCCCTAAACCAGGACCATGGTGGACTGCGCTCCCGAACCCTTCTATTTCCTCAGGGCGCCCGGGTATACTTAGAGCAAAACAGCTCGGCAAGACCGCCAGTTGAAGTCTTCAGGCCCATTGTATATGTGTATGTACCTATATATATATATATATATATATATATATATATATATTTTTGCATTGCTTCGGATAGCAGAGTCGACAGACGCATCCCAAAATTCTGGCATTGAATTCAAAAGCGAACACGACGACCCGGCATTCCACACCTATTGTGCGGCAAGCCAGTCGAGGGCCGCGAAGGCACAAAGCCCGTTGGAGGTGGCGCAGAAATCTATGGACATAGTATGCGCTCACCAGACAAGGGTGGGATGTAACCGGCAGACGGGAAAAGCCGTCCCACCCCTACAACAAAATCAAACTGAGGCACATGGCAACCATCAGAGAGTTGCCAAAATTGGTGGCCACCCAGGCTGTCATGAGAAGGAACACTTCAACTAGCAAGAGATTTTCCCCAGTCACAGAGGCTACTAAGGATGCTTTGTATTCCGTTGTCGGCTATCAAAGCACCAGTCAAACTACCGTCCGAACTAAGTTTGGAAGTCGGATTCGGACTTCAAACGTGAAGGATCTTCCTCAGGGGTATCGGCTGAGGCCATCCCTACACAGTTAACATACCCAAGACGTCAGAACACCTTCATCGAGGTGATATCGAGACATCAAACTCAACAACAGCATGAAGGCTGCAAGACCTTCACACTCAAATAGCAAGCTCATCATTCACCTACTCAGAAAATTGCTGGGTAGTTGGCTGCTCTCCAGGCTCCGGTTGAACGCATAGCCAAACGTCAACTCCGCTGGTTGCTGGGTAGTCGGCTGCCCTCGAGGCTCCGGTTGAACGCATAGCCAAACTTCAAACTCCGCAGGTTGCTGGGTTGTCCGCTGCCCTCTAGGCTCCGGTTGAATGCATGGCCAAACGTCAAAATCCGCAGGTTTCTGGGTAGGTGGCTGCTCTCCAGGCTCCGGTTGAACGCATAGCCAAACGTCAAACTCCGCAGATTTCTGGGTATCTGGCTGCTCTCCAGGCTCCGGTTGAACGCATAGCCCATCGTCAAACTCCGCAGGTTGCTGGGTTGTCCGCTGCCCTCTAGGCTCCGGTTGAATGCATGGCCAAACGTCAAACTCCGCAGGTTTCTGGGTAGCTGGCTGCTCTCCAGGCTCCGGTTGAACGCATAGCCAAACGTCAAACTCCGCAGATTTCTGGGTATCTGGCTGCTCTCCAGGCTCCGGTTGAACGCATAGCCCATCGTCAAACTCCGCAGGTTGCTGGGTTGTCCGCTGCCCTCTAGGCTCCGGTTGAATGCATGGCCAAACGTCAAACTCCGCAGGCTCCAGGCTTGAACGCATGCGGCCTGGCCGCTGCCCTCTAGGCTCCGGTTGAATGCATGGCCAAACGTCAAACTCCGCAGGTTTCTGGGTAGCTGGCTGCTCTCCAGGCTCCGGTTGAACGCATAGCCAAACGTCAAACTCCGTCAAACGCATAGCCGCAAACCCCGGGTTGCTGGGTTGTCCGCTGCCCTCTAGGCTCCGGTTGAATGCATGGCCAAACGTCAAACTCCGCAGGTTTCTGGGTAGCTGGCTGCTCTCCAGGCTCCGGTTGAACGCATAGCCCAACGTCAAACTCCGCGGGTTGCTGCGTTGTCGGCTGCCCTCTAGGCTCCGGTTGAATGCATGGCCAAACGTCAAACTCCGCAAGTTGCTGGGTAGCTGGCTGCACCACATGGCGAACCCCGCCCCGAAGGGCATCTATACAGGGTCCTGGGGCTCTACGATCTTCTCCCGCTGTGGGAGCGACTCGGGCCCTATATATATATATATATATATATATATACCTATATATGTATATATATATATATATATATAGATATGTTTATGTATGAAGCGCCTTAGTAGTTGGAGCTGGGTGTTGGGATATTTTTCTGCTATAAATGTGAAGGACCCGTAAAAGTAGTCCAAGTCTTCAGGCCAGAGGAAGGCAAGCGGGCCCGGCAGATCGCGAGATCATTTAGGGTTTAAGGCTAAAGATTTTGGTTTAGCGTTTAAGGGGGTTTAGCGTTTAAGGGTTTAGGGTTTAGGGTTTTGAGATCTCCCCGCGAGGCTCCCTGCTGGTGGCAGCGCTGGGTATGGGTCAGATGGTGACCATTGTCCAGCAACCTGGCTAGTGAATTCCCAGATCGCTGGGGAGGAGACTGAAAGTAGGGCCCTTTTTCATGGGGGGTCCTGAAAAGGGTTCCTTAAAGGGACTTAGAAGGGTTTGTAGAGGATTATAGGGCTTCTGGGTTTCGGAAACCGCTCCATAACCGCCCAACCCCTCCAAGCCTAAATAATTACCTATACAATTTTTTGGGTTCCTTATTATAATTATAGTATAATGGGCCCCCAAACCCTATTCAAATCATTAAGGCCCCTATATTAGGCCTCGGCGTTAGCGGGTTCGGCAGACTTCTTTTGCCAGTTGAGGCCAATTCTGCCAGTGCTTGCCGCAAAGATCCTTGCCACCCAGACCCCCTGTGGAGGATCCAAAAAGTAGATCCCTTAATGGGGGCTCCTATAAAGTACCCTTAGTAGTATAGGGCCCGAAATTCGGGGATCTACTTGCTCGATCCTCCCAGGGGTCTGGGCAGTTGTGGCTCAATGGTCTCCGCCTCAAACATACCCCGTTGGAATTGCAGAAAGTTAACTTCCCAAGCAAAGCCGCGGTCACCGGTGGTAGGGCGCTTCGTGTCAACATCCAAGTCTGATACTGGTTCCCATGAAACCCCAAGAGACAACCCAGTAGACCAAGACGGCAACGACCACCACCAACAACAACACAAAGGTTGTTCGGAATACTAACAACGACTACGGTGCCATGTGTTCTTCTCTTTTGGAAATGCTCAGGATTCTTCATTGCAACGGGTTCACGATTAGTGGAACCGGACATATGCCACACCTGTTTTTGTTGTATCATGTTGTTCTGCATCATGGCACTGGCAGACGATTGGTTACAAGCAAACTAGTGTTCGAAGCCCCATCGAGCCCTAATAGAAGACAGAAAGAGCACACGCAAAATATGTTGCGAAAGCCGCAAACAAAAAGTCTAGAGACCCATTTAGAGCCCGATAAAACCTTATTATGACGTCCGGCAATGCAATTGAAACAAAATCTGTAAACAGCTGAAGGCAGCTGACCGTGATCCAGCAGTTCAAGATCGATTGGGGTGAGCCTTTCTCAAGCATCCTTGTGGCTTTGGAGGCTCCAGATCAGGAATTGGGGTTTAGGGCTTAGGATTTTTTAGGATTTTAGGATTTAGGGTTTAGGGCTTAGGAGTTTTTAGGATTTTAGGTTTTCAGGATTTAGGATTTCGGGTTTAGGGTTTAGGATTTCGGATTTCGGGTTTAGGGTTAAGCATCCTTGTAGCTCTGGAGGCTCTAGATCCGGAAAGCGATGAGGGATCTTTGGTTGAGGGTCTAGGTTCCCGACCGTACTTCGGCTTTGAGCTTTCGGGTTAAGGTTGAGGGACCTGGTGGCCAATTTTCACATAGAGTAAAGGGAATTCCAGAAAGTTGGAATATGGTTTCAGGGTAGGATACCCTATAATTTACCATAAAGGGTTAAGGATATTCATATTCCAACTTTCTGGCTTTAACCTTAGGTTCCCGAGCAGTACCGTTTTACCCTTTCTCTTTGAGGCTGCCCTTCTTAAAACCGATGAGTAGGAAAAAGCATACCATTGTATAAAGAGGCTACTCCGAAGCCTAGGGGTATTCTGAGTAAGAACTCCCTATGGAAATGCTCTTCTTGCTATAGTCTGATCCTAGACGAAACAGCATGTCTATTTGGGGTGCAGGGGGTTTATCTACAGGCTTAAGGAAAAGAGCTTACGGCTCGGAAATATGCAGTGCTGATGGCCTGCAAGTGCATACTTTCAAAGGCTGTCGGTGAACGGCGCGGGGGGGAGGGGGGAAAGGTGGTAAATTGGCCTTCCAGGAGCCCTGTCAGTAGGTAACCTTTACAGAACCCTGGTAGGGTACCCCGAGACTGCTTACGTAATGTCTGCATGGTTTTCGGAATCATATTGGTGGCGATGTAGGCCAGCAGGTGCGGATTGACAAACTCCGGACTGTCTCTTTGTGCTCGTGTGGCCTTGAGGAGTTTATGGCTCATATCCCATACAGCTCCTCTATAGTGTAAGACACGGATTTTAAATGTCTAAGTTCAGAGTCGTCATGGTTCTCAGACTCCAGTCTGCTCGGGTTTATTTATGTTTGGTTTAGGAAGCCCTGGCTGCGGGTGTCAATTTCCCAGTTGATGTCTTTTCCATCAGGGCCATGGGAACGCCAGGTCAGGTAAACATGGACAAGCTGGATTGTCGTGGAGGATGCGCGTCGCTACCGATAAGCTCCCTACTGTAGCCTAGGTTGAAACTGTTGTGAGGACTGTGTATTCTCGGTCCTGAAGACCCACGCATTCAGGCACATGTAAACCCATCTACAGCTACCTGTGAGCCTTAAATCACCTACGTAGTACTTGTGCAGCCGTAACCCCATTAGATCTGTTAGGCTTGTGAACAAGGCAGGTAAGCTCCGAAGAGATCCAAAGCAATGATTGCTTAAGTGGTTTGCTATGAAGTACCCTTTCGTAGCATAGGTCTCTAGATTAAGGCTTCGATGTTATAGTAGCATATTTCATGTATAGCAAATTATGAAGGCCACAAAATCATAGAACCCGTACAGAACCCCTTAAAGGAAGCCTTGTCTACTTATTAAGGCCCCCATCTTGGAGGTCAGGGAAGAACCGGTCGCGTAGCAAGTTAAGCCAAATCCCAACCCCTTCGAAGCTTCTACAACCCCAAATCCCCAATCCGAAAGCCATAAAGCTTTCTCTGGGATTAGGTTTAGGCTGTAGGTGAGTCTTCCATCCGGAATGGTTTCTTCTTTGCGGCGATGTCCGCAGCGCTTTTCTGAAGGGCGACCCCTACATGAACGCCTTGCGGCAACTGTTCATGGGTCTCCCGAACACCAAGACAGGACCCAGCCTGCCGGTGACTCCATGTACGCTTTTCAGAGTTCGCAAGCGCGTGTTCGGCTTGGCTGATGCTCCGAGAGAGTGCTACAAACGACTAGTACGAGAACTCGAATCTCTCGGGCGGACGAAAAGTTGTATTGAGGAACGTTCTTCCTCAACCCGAGTTTCCACACCTCCCCTTCTTCACCGTGTCGTCGCTCTTTCTGCTGACGGCGTGTTGCAGGCCGTAAACAGCTTTTACAGGGGGTCTCTAGAGCTTTAGTGCAGGATCACAAAGCACCTTTACTCCTTCACGAGTTTCAGAAAGCTGCACGTCCGAATAGACCCCGAAACAGGGCCCCAAGCACGAAGCATCCTCTATCTATGTCGGGAGCCGTCTGGTGCAAGGAATGCAGTGTTACTTGAAACAACGTGGTCCTGGTTTAAATATCTTTGTAGTAGTTTAAATGGGAAGAGTAGGGTCAATAGTAACAGTAACAGTAAGAGTAACAAAATCCATAACAGGACCAGGAATAAAATCGGAATAGTAAGAGCAACAGTAACCATAAGTGTGAAAACAGAAATACTGCAACAAGACGAATCACCGCCAAACCCGATGGCAAGAGCTATTCCCTTCGATAGGTCATGGCCTTCGACATGGACATGATCTCGATCGGCTGTGTGGCGCCAATGGACCCCGTCTCGAAGTTCACCACACGCACCTTGCTCTCGGATTGGATGCGTTGTTCCTGCACTCGGTTTTCTGAAACTCGAAGGCTAGAACTTTGCCCACCTGGAATCCATGTTTCGTGAACGTCATATGTTTAGGTCCTACAAGACGAGTGAGTTCTCAAGGATCTTTGCTGACCCGTTCTTTGTGCAGCGCTTGCAAGAAAGATCCAGAAATAGTATGTATCATTTTGGGTGATGTATCCAGTAGGCCCCAAACAGTGCATCAATATCATCGAGGATGTGTAGTCGTCCGAAGAATCCAAAGAGATGCCTCAGATTCCAGAGGCAGCTCAAATTCTTTTGCTTATGTCCTGAAGAAACCTGTAGCATTTTTAGCACAGTCGACCTAATTTTGGTGGCCCGTGTGTTACGCTGCTCAAAGTTCGGGTGGGCGTATTCGTATACCAGGCTTTACCGTCCAGCACACAAAGGCAACGACAGAACCCGGAGCGTCGAGGATGGCTCGTCTTTCTTACCCAAAAGAGGCCTTAACAATTTCCGATACTTTTTGGGTGTTTCCTTGTTGTAAGAAAAGTATGATAGGCCCGGCCCAAAACCCTAACCCTATTGTAACTATTAAGGCCATTGTAGTACCTAGACCTCGAAAAAGGTAGGATGTTCAAAAAGGTATCAGACTATTTCGTAGCACCCGAAATCGAAGCTTAAAGAGGTTTAGTGTTGAGGTTGAACCCAAGCCCACATGCAAGGAACCCTGTTGGTGCTGGTGTTCTTCGCTGTGGCGGCGATTGTGCCTCCAGCTCTTCCATGGGGCTGGGGCTATATAGAAACCCTCTGAGGGATCTAATGGTTTTCTTAAAAGGGTCATGGGACTCAGTAACTAGGGTTACAATTAAGGTAACTATTGTTATAATTACCTTATTACCCCAATTAAGGTACTTATAACCCTAGCTACTAAGCCCCATGATCCTTTTAAGTAGGGTGTAGGGTTTAGGAGATCTCAAAGTTTGGAGTCCGTGGTGTGTGGCTGTTTAGGGTCTAAAGTTTTCTGGATTCTAGTCTTCGTGGGTCTGGGCTTCACAAAGCAACGTCGCAATCAATGTGAGGTACTACGGGGGCGTAAATCATGACCAATGCTGCTTGCGCGGTTCCTTATTATAAGTATAGTAGTGTAGGCCCCCAAACCCTATTCTTATCATGAAGGCCCCTGTATTATGCCTTTGTTCCTTGTCTTCTTATTTTGGGGGGAACCGCCCTCCGACCAATACCTTGGAAAGAGGCGCCGGTAAACCTTGAAGCCTTACACTTGCACCCTTCCCTAAGGGTCCAAGTACCCAATAATCATATACTATCCCAGATATGAACCTACATGTCTACTATCCTCAACCCAAGTACCTGATTATTGTGTCCTTTGGACCCTTGGGATTCAAGCCTAAGCCTTAACTTCGCTAGTTATGGCTGTACATGATGCTTCCACTTACCGATGTGAAGTAGGGCTTATATTACCATGTTGGTGAGTGTAGATAGGGCTCCTTTTGAATTTTGGTGAGTGTATGTCTTGGGTTTTATTATGGGGGTACTAGTAACATAAACCATACAGTAAAAGCCAGAAAGTTGGAATATGATTATCCTAAACCCTTTATGGTAAATTATAGGGTATCCTACCCTGAAACCATATTCCAACTTTCTGGAGTTCCCTTTACTCTATGTGAAAATTGGCCACCAGGTCCCTCAACCTTAACCCGAAAGCTCAAAGCCGAAGTACGGTTGATGATATAAATCCTGCATTACCCATAATAAGCAATATCCCCATAATTCCCATAGTCGAGGGTCATTAAGGTAATGAAGAATTTACATCATCAACCGTACCTCAGTCGGGGGGCCGTTTTGGGAGGATAGTACAGACAGTACAGCAAAGTTGCAATCCTACCCCTAAGGGGTTGCGCTCGTAGTTTTTCGGGCTCGGCCCGTTCATCCTTAGACCCAAACAACCCAAGAGCCCCGAAACCCTAATCCGTAAACCCTAACCTCTAAGCTCATGCAACCCCTAAACCCCTAATCCAAGAAGCCCTGGAGGTGCACTTCACGTAATGGGGGTTCCTATAAAGTACCCTTTGTTGTATAGGGCCGCAAATTAGGGGATCTGCTTTCTCGATCCTCCCGGGGGTTTGGGTGGAGGTGCACTTCACATACCTTGCCTTCAAGCGATCCCGTGGCTTCCAGCTTAGCCTGCTGGCAAGGACGGCCTTCGCGTCTCGAGCGGTTTTGTTCCTAGGGGTGACTATAGGGGCCTGAATAATTACCTATGCTGTTTTCGGGGTGCCGTAATTTCATTATGGGATCATGGGCCCCAAAAATCTAGTCTGATTATTAAGGCCCCTGTAGCAGAGGGTTTGGGGTTTTGGGGCCTGGAGTAGAGGATTTGGGGCTGCAGGTTGGTTTACGGTTTTCGGTGTAGGTTCAGAGGTTGCGGTTTAGGATTTGAGGCTTTCGGGTGTTGGTTGTATGCTTCATTTGAGCTCATTGCAAGCCTGAAGAGTCGAAACTACTTCTCTGTTTGCTTCAGGCTGCTGGACGTCCAAGAACAGGAGTTTGGGGTTGCAGGAAGTCAGACAATTATCAAGCTACTACAAGGCGATGATAAAGGTATCATAGGGGCATGCAGGGTACTATGACGGTGCTTGCGTTGGTGCTTGAGGGCGTGTCAGAAATCTGGCATCTAGGTACTTCCGGCTATCAGAGCTTTAGGACTGGTTTTTGCGGGCTTTAGAGCTGCAGGGCTTGTTTCTGAAGGCTGTTCTGTTCCGAAGCACCGGAGCTGGTATGGTTGTGCAGGGTTTGCTCAGGCTTTCAGTAAATCTTTAGCTGTCGTCCTACACGGTCCTACACCAAAAAAGCAGGTTTTGGGATCTAGGCCTTGGGCTTTGAAGTGTTCAGATACCCCGACTACGAAAGCTCCGTGATCCTTTCAGTAACGTAAGGTTTCGAGGGGCGGTCAGAGACAGGATTCCACGGTCTTTGGCTCTTGAAGGTTCGGGGTAGGAGGCTACTTACAACTGTAGCTATTGCCTCATCACATATCTCCTGATTAGCTGGGTTTTGAGTGGGATATCAAAATAGTTGTAATCGCGCTGTACTTAAGACGAATCTCCATCAAGGGGCTTAGACCATTGCTTTTTTTTGAGCGGGAGTTGATATTAGGTGTGGCTCTCGAGAACATGGAGTTGTATGGACTTGTTTGGGATGTAGAATGCAGTTGTGACCTTTGTTTTCCAGGCTCCGATCGTCAATGCCCTTATAAGATCTGCAGTGTTATTCGTGTTGCTTTGGAATGGACGAGCGGCGAATTTGCAAACCCGGTACCATGTAAGGATACTTCATGAGGGTACTACGAAAGCTCCTGTAGCGGCTACGTTCTGTATCCTCCTTCGATCATAGGAGCCAAAAAGGGGTTTAGCCTATGGGGGGTTTAGTAGGGATTAGGGTTCCCATATTAAGGAATCCCCCCAAGAATCTTACACCCCCCTTGTGGCCTCCCATCCGATTCGAGATGTGGCAGGACTGTGGGCACCTTGTTCATGGTCTTCTTTATTTCCCTGTGCTCCTCTCTGCGACTGGGCTACTGACGGGTATAGGCAGAGGTGTTGGGGGTTTAATGTAGGAACCTGATTCAGAAATCCTGGCCCTATAACCCACAGTATATTCGGATCCATTTTGGGAGCCCTAATACGGACCCAAGCTTTCTTAATAGGTTCCTATATTAGGGTGCGGGTTAAGTTCAGAGCCCCGAGAAACAGAGTCCTCAAAACGGTATCGCCTATAGAGTCAATGATCCCTGCAGTGGTTTCCGATAAAGCAACCTTCAGTAGCATAGAGTATCCTCTCGGCCTTAATGTAGCTTCAGGTCGGGCCTTCTTCAGAGGATCCAGTTTGTGTCTCCTTCAAGGGGGTCTGGTAGATACGTCACCACTACCTACAAGTAAAGTAGCAAGTGATGTTTAGGAGTTTAGGGTTGAGGCAATCGGGATCTGGGTTTTGGGAGTTAGGGTTTAATTAGGGATTAAGGGGTTGGGGTTTGGGGTTTGATTGTGACATCTTAGGGTGTTTAGGTCTAAAGCCTTTACGCCCGTCGATGTCGATGTCTTCGCCGCAACGCCTTTACACGGGCCTGAACCCGATGCCCTAAACCTTTGCATACCCGAAGCCCGACCGGAACAGCAAAACCCAACAGAGACAACGATAAGAAGGTTTCCGAAAGTCCCGAATCCTTCAACGCAATCTAGGAGCGAACAGCATAAAAGATGAAAGCACCACAAAGACCCCAGACCACCAAAACAGGAACTCCAGACCAGCCGCAAAGGCGGAGCTTGCATCCTACTCAGAGGTCCATTGGACTTCCTCGGTAGGTTAGAACTGGGGGGTGTCATCACTAGGATGCCCAGTACTACCCTTAGTCCCTTTTGGTAGTCCCAGGTCCTAGGTTCCTTCTAAAGTTACCCAATAGCAAAAAAGGGAGCCCTTGTTATTCCCAGGTTATTGGGCATCCTAGATCAGTACTCGATTTAAGGTTATTGTACGTAGAGCAACCCCTATGAGACCCGCTCAGTGGACAGATCCAGAATAAGGTTGGCGCCCTTCCGCTGCAACACGCACCCCAACGGCAAAATGCTCCTCGGGCTTCTTTCATAGCGATGCTTGTATTTTTCTTCATGGGTTCGGTATCTTGCATTCTCTTGGGGTTTCGAGATAATGGTCGTTCGCTTACATTCGAAGGGAGGCGGTGGTTTGGGTTGAGGGGGGGATGGTTGAGGCTTGGGGGATCGTGGTTTCCCCGACCCACGGAGGATCTAGAAAGTAGATCCCCTAATTTGGGGCCCTATACTACCAACGGTACTTTATAGGAACCCGCATTAAGGTCAGTCGTCAGTAGACCCTCACCTAAGCACGAATTCTTCATTTTCAGAGGCTCCGATGCAATGAGCCATCTCATGCTGGGCTCCTATCGCATTCTCTTACCTTTGGTTAGTAGGGAATGGAAGAATGGTAGTAGTAGTGGTTATGATTGTACCCCATTCCTCCATTCCCTACTAACCAAAGGTAAATTCTTCAGCATTCCAGTCTACAACCGTTGAACTACAAAAGAACTTGCGAGTACCGGGCACCGAGTAGTCGTCTGCACCTATGGCCTTCTGGTTCTTATAACATCATCTATACTGTCAAGACTCTTCTCTGATCAGCAGAGGCCCGTCTGCCAGAGCTTCAGACCTTAGACTTCGCGATCCCGAAAACCAAAAGTTTTGACTCTGAGCCCAATGTCTACTTGGAAGCTCGTGGTGCTTATAACCTAGTTATCGCCATGATCAAGAGCCCGGTTGAACCTAGGCAAGTAATTGGGTACGGTTTTATTTGGCTTATAGTCACCTAGAGAAACCTTATTACCTTATGAGCACTTATAGATATCTTGTAGATCTCCTACATGGATCCTGAGTTACATGAACCTACAACCCAGACGAAGGACCTGTTGAAAATCGATCCGACCATGAGATGCCTTAAGATAGGCCTTATTTCCTGAACCCTAAACCCTAAACAGATGCCCTGAGACGGGCCTTGTTCTGAAGTTATGTGATGCCCCCGTTTTGTGGGCCAGGGTTTCGGCTTCAGCAGCCAACTTCTCCTGTTGCTGAGTTGAACTCACAAGCGAACTCCGAAAATTAACTTCGAGTCTACTTGGAGGGTCGGAGGACTTAGTAAGTATTTATTCTTGAGACTTGTATCATAACCCCAATTAGAGTCCCGTTTAAGGTGCTTTTATGTCTACTTCTTACCGACTTACTAAGCCAAGTAGGATTTAAAATTAAACCCTAAACCCTAAACCCTAATGATTTAGAATGGGTGGTTTGGGGATCCTCCTTCCGCAGCTTTGCTCTCGACGTAGGGGCTCGATGTTACGGAAGCCTTCCCTCTGAGTCTTGGGGTTTAGCGTGTACCCAGACCCCCGGGAGGATCTAGAAAGTAGATCCCTTAATGGGGGTTCCTATAAAGTACCCTTAGTAGTATAGGGCCCCAAATTAGGGGATCTACTTTCTAGATCCTCCCGGGGGTCTGGGAAAGGATGTTTAGGGATTTGGGTTTAGGCTTTAAGGTCTAAGGTGTTAGTAGTTGCCTTCGATAGAAGGTTTAGGCTTGTGGCTTCTGGTTTCGATGTGCTGGAGGGCTGAGCTTGCAAAGCCTCGAAGACCCCTCCAGACTTAGGCCCTAGAAACCCCCAAAGCCCCAGTTTAGTGTTTAGGGTTTAGGGCCAAACCCCCCAGAACCAATTCCTCAAAACGGCGAAACCTGAAACCCCGCACCTTCAATTCTTTGCGAAAGGACGATTCAGACCTATCATGGAGTGCTTCCTGGCCTGTACGGTTTCGGATTTAGCAAATTTAGCAGAGGGCTCTTTGGGCGTGTATCGAGAACCGGAAATCTGCCTCCTGTGGGCCTAAAAGCCAACTTGCAGCTGCGAACCCAAGGACTCCTGGGGCTGAGCATTCTAAGGTCTAACATCGGGGCCTAAAATATTTCTTGACGTTCTTCTGGTTGTCTCTTAGGACTTTACAACGTTTTGGGTTTCTGTCTGAACTACAATCAGGAGGCTAAAAGTTTAACTTTTAGGAGGGGGTTCAGAAGTCAGCCAAGATTATAATGGTCCCCAAAACCCTACTCTCATTGTTAAGGCCCCTTTATTAAGGTCTAAACCCCAGGGCTGCGGAGGTTGAGCAGTGCTTCGGAAACAGGCAGGCGGAGATGCTGGATCGTGGTGACAGTTGCCACAAGGCATTAGCGCAGGCTAAGCGCGTGTTTGAGTACAATTTTGCATAACAGAGCATACGGCCGTATAGTATATCATAGGATATTGCATTAAGCAGCTTACGACGGTTGATGATATAAATCCTGCAATACCAATAATAAGGATAATTTCCGTAGTTTCGCATCCTTCAGGTAATGCAGGATTTATATCATCAACCGTCGTATTCATCTGGGTGGTTGTCAAAATTAGGGTCCCTTTGTGGGTACCCTAAATATTAGGTGCTGCATTATATTAGGGACCCAAAAAGGGATTATAATTTTGACAACCACCCATCTGAACACTGAACCCAACCCTAAAGCCGCAAAGCCTAAACTTCTAAACCACCCTAACAAAACACAGGAATGAGCGCTACATCTAACACCAACACGTTCTAGGATGCTTTGTTGTGGAGCTGCTACTTTCTGGCAACCTGCACACACCTACAGTAGAGCATCAAGTTTCGAATTTCTGCTCTGGGGTTTCGGACATGGAACAGGCCCGTATTGGAAGACCGGAACCCTGCAGGCTCTGCATCGGCAGCCCAACCCTAGAATCCCCCGAGCGTTTGTGTTTCACTACTTTGAGGATCATGCGGCCTAGTACGTCATGACAAGTGTTATAAGTGCTCCAATTTGAGTTGTTAGAAGAGCTAGCTTGATGAACCCTAAACCCTAAACCTTGCTAGCCTTAGTTACCAAGTTCCAAAGCACTTCGGTGCCCTACCCCCCTGCCTTGAGGGGAGGGCGCAAGGTTTCCATCGGCTGGCAAAATTTGTGCGGATTCTGATGTCTACTTGTGTTTAGGGCTTCGAATCCAGTCTACTTAGAGTATCAGCCTAAACCCCAGAAGCCCCATTAGAGCGGCTTGGATAATTACGAAAGATGTTTCCTTAGGGTTCCTTCGACCCTATTCGAGGTGTGAAGTCTCCTATACCTGGAGTCGGGTACAACCCTTCGACTGCACACTATAAGGGCCTTAATAGTTAGAATAGGGTTCTTTGAAAGGGTTCCCTTAAAGGGATCTATAAGGGTACTACAAAATACAGGGGCTTGCGTAGTTAGAATAGGGTTTCGGGGCCCAGTATACTATAATTGTAACAAGGAAGCCCCCAAAATAGTAGAGGTAGTCATTACGGCGCCTATAGTTATGCCCTTCCGCGGCACAGAGCCGGGTCAGGTCAGACAGAGACTTTCGAGGCCAAGACCGAAGCAGGAAACCAAGACCCAAACCCGAAAGCACTTAGTAAGTAGTTACTTTGAGGACTTATAATTATCATAAGCTCATTTAGGATCCCTTTTAGGGTACATATATGTCTACTTAGTACTGGCTTCTATCGCAGCTGTACGGCTGATGATGTAAATCCTGAGGTTCCTTTAAAGGGATCTATAAGGGTACCTTCAAGGGACTCCTTTAAGGGATCTATAGGGTTTAGGGTTTAGGGTTGATGGTACAAACCGTGCATTACCCATAATAAGGAACATACCGTGGTTCCCATGGTCAAGGTACTGCAGGATTTATATCATCAACCCTGTGGATGTCTCTGGAATTTTACCAGGTTTAGTTTTAGGGGCCCTAAACCCTAAACCCCAAACCCTAAACCCTAAATCGTATTTTGTGGAGTCCCTCAATATATTTATCCATTGGAGTCCCTCAGAGCCCTCGTCCAATCAGTCAGGCCCTAATGTTGCACCCTTGTACTATCTTTTAGGGTTGAGGGGGTTTAGGGTTTAGGGTTTGGGTTCAGGGTTTAGAGCTTGTTGCACTCCTGTACTATCTGCTAACCCCTAACCGCAAGGTATTGCAACGGCAGAGACGAGCATTTGGCCATGAGTGTCGTCGGCGGCCTCGCTTGCTTGCTGCAGCTTGCTTGAAGTATCGGGGGACGTGAACTGTTAGTTCAACCGGGGTCACAAGAAGTTTTTGTTAGGCCCCAACAAGGATTTAGGTTTTGAGGGTTTAGTGCTTGAGTCCGCGAGGATCTACAAAGCCGATCCCTTAATGGGAGGTTTGTTTGTCGCACCCTTTGGTAGCAGAGGATCACCCAAAACCCTAAACCCTAATATAGGGACCTAAATGATTACCAACACTATTCTGGGTGTTCTTTATTAGAACTATATTATAATATACCACCAAAAAAGCAAAAAAAAAATAATTAAATAAATACAAAACGAATCATTAAGGCCCCTATGTTACACCTTAACCGTGGATAAACCCTGGTTCTTTCAGTCTCAAACCCTAAACCCCAAACCCAGAACCCTAAAGAATAAACCCTAAACCTTAACCGTGGATAAACTCCGGTTGATGATATAAATCCTGCATGACCTTAAGGACCCTAGGCTATGGGAATTATGGTATATTCCTTATTATGGTATTATGGGTAATGCAGGATTTATATCATCAACCCCAAACCCTAAACCCCATATAGATCCCTTAAAGGAACCCCTTAAGGTACCCTTATAGATCCCTTTAAAGGAACCCTAGGATTTATATCATCAACAGTCTCTCGGCGCGGAGGCCGGCGGGTTTCCTGGCCATCTGCATGTGGGTCATCCTTGTCGAGCTGCCAAAGAGGCCAGGGCTTGGGAGTTTAGAGAACGTTTTCTGGGGGGTCCTACGGCCCTTTGCAGCCTTGCATCTTGGCAACCTCCTGCCTGCAGAAAATAGTACCTCTAGATTGAAGTTGGTTTGAGAAGACTTCTTGAGCCTTGCGAACCTCATACTCCAGGCCTTGTAAGGGAGGGACGGACTCCTCCAGCTACCCACAGGGCGCAGGGCTGACTGTAAGATAGCACTAGACCTCGAGTCCTGCATAAAGTACGTATTGGATTAAGGTATGAGGCTCTGATTGTAGATTTAGACTCCACAGTTAAGTGTTGCAACACAAAGAGGCCCTTTTCTGTTGGAGAGTGTTTCATGAGTGGGCCCCACGTCAGTTCCAGCCACCCACATCTGCATTTATCTTATTTATCTAGTACTTTGTTAAGTTATATATATTTATATATATGCATGTATACATGCATTTATGTAGATATTTGTTCATTTATAGAAAGATAGAGATAGAGAGGGAGTTTCCAGAATTGCGAGCCTTGTGTTTACACTCAGAGCCAGGATCCTCAGAATCGGGCTGATCTTGGGAAGCTGTTTGAATGATGTTTAGGTGCCTGAATCGATAGCTTTACTTCCCTTAGAGCTCAGACCTAGTTAGCTGGTGTACTACATCGCTGCATCGGGTCTTGAACAAACCCCACGGTGCAACAGCAAAGGAAAGATCGTAGCTTCTTTAATTCGACGCCGGAGGGGCAGACAGCAGAACATCTTCTAGGGACCAGGGACAGGGAGCCTTGTCAAGGCGCAGTCCTCCGTTCGCATAAAGGCTCCGTATGAGACCCTGAAGCCGAAGTAAGCCCTAAAAGCCTAAGCCCTAAGCTCTAAACCTCGCAAGAACGATAGAAGACGCAGCGCTTAACCAATGAATGACACATGCTGGAGTCCTCGGGGCCTAAACCCTGACACTTGTTAAACCTTAAACTTCAAAAGTAAGTGGTCCTAAACCCTAGAACTTACCTTGGGTTAGTAGGGCATGGAGGAATGGGGTACAATTCTAACTACTATTACTCCCTACTACACAAAAAGGTAAGAAAAGCAACCACCCGCAGCCCTGAAGCCGAACTTGGCCGTGACAGGCTACAAAACGCAGATGTCAAGTTCATCCGGGCTCCTTGTCTCTAACAGCTCTTAGTCGTAGAGTAGGTAACCTGCAACTGTTTCGGGTATTGTACTCCATATATAGTCCCAAAGGTTAAGACTCTAGTACCCCATGATATTCGACAAGTAAGAGATACTGTGCAAGGCTGCATACTTACTAGTATCGCTTATGGTTCCTCATCTTAAGGTTGCTGTCAGATACCCCAGAACTCTGTCTTACTCATGCGGGCCCCCATGTTACGGAATTAGTTTCTTAGGTTCAGCCTCGAGACTCTTCTCGGAATGCTGACACCTGAAATCTTCCACCATGAGTGACCTTCAAGTCTTGCGCGGGAAGGCGTGCAGGTAGTTTGAGGCTTCGGGATTGAAGCTTACGATCTCGAGTTGCTGAGTGGTGCTGCTGGTGCTGTTCAGTTTCGGACATTCCGCCAGGATGTTGGACGAAACGTCTTGGGTTTGTTTCTCATGAGTCAGGACTTCACGTAAGTCAGTCTTGAACTGCTCAGCCCGCCGCGCTCGCCCTCTTCACTCTTTCTCTTGGAAAAAAACAAAGCCCGCCCTGAACAGCAAATCTTCTCACCCTCTTCCTACGTCCAGCCTATGCACCCTATATCCTGCTCCCGCAACTCTGTGGTCCCAAATTTGCCCTTCCAACGAACGCCCGAATTTCCATAGCATGGGGGCTTGAGTGACTGGTAATAGTGCCCCTTCGCCATCAGGACTCAGGAATAATTGTCCTTCGAACTCCCTCTTACATGTAGCGTCGGAAGAATGAGTTTTGTCATCCCCCTGTAGTTGCTTTCTGAGTGCAGCACAGGGTGCCCCCAACACCCTGTTCTAACTAGTCAGGCTCTTATGTAGTTCGTCACCTTATGGCAGTTCGTGGACGTCTTCAGTGCAAGCATTTAGGATCCTAGTTTACCCGGAAGGGACTTCAAAACGGCTTAAAAATCAAACCCAGACAGACCCGTCCAGCATCTACAACAACTTAATGCGAAGGCCTCCTACCTGAAGCCATAGAACCATAGGATCACTTTTCTTCCCAGAGAGCCCAATACCCCTTAACTCAGGAACATAGCTTAACTCATAATATGAAGCCCTGTATATTTTGAGCCATATTCCTTGATCGAGGGGTATTGGGCTCTCTGGGTTCCGGAATGGGAGAGCCTGAACCCTAAACCCTAACGAGGCTTGCTCCTTCCTCTTCATGCGCTTCCGGCCGGGTGCGGAGGTGCCTTGATTCCCTCGACGGCGACCCGAAGCCCCTACTTAAAGGGACATGGGATTCTGTAACTGGGACTTAGTAAGTAGTTATTTTAGAGACTTATAAGTACCATATCCCCAATTAGGGTCCCTCTTAAGGCACTTATACGTTTTCTTATAACCTACTTACCAAGTCCCCCGCCCTCCAAGTAGGGATATAATTAAGGTAACGGTACTTATATGTACTGATACCCCAACTAAGGTACGTATAACCAATCTTTCTAAATCTCATGACCCTCCAAGTAAGAGTGGTCTTCGATCTTTTGTTGGTCAAGGGGTGTAACACATTCGCGAGTTGTGGAGGTGGCATTAGGGTTTCAAGGACTGAATGCTCAATGTAGGAGCCTGATTAAGAAACCCTGGCCCTTTGATCCCAAAATCTTCGGATTGAAAAAGAAGCAAAATCACGACCCAGGGTTTCTTCTTCAGGTCATCTTATTCCTAAGGTTGGGGACTTCCGACTCCATGTCCATTCCATGGACTTGTAAGAGGCTTCGACATGAAGACTGCTGGGGTCATTGGCGGCTTATGTTGCGGTTTGCGGTTTCACACCCTAAGCTCCCAAAACCCCACAACCTGAACCTTTACCCGAAACCCCGAGTTTGGGAGTTTAACTTTTTTGAGATCAGGGTGTAGACAACCCATAGAAGCGCTGGTCCAGGTCTATTCCGTCGTCTTCTTGGTCCGCCACTTCGCTCAAATGGGTGTACGCAGCTCTTCTTGCCTTCCCACGACCATTAACACCAGATAAGCCAAAAAAAGTTTTTGGCCCAAATTTTCAGGCATTCAGGGGCATTGGGGTAAGGACCGAGGATTCAGGTCACAGTGCTTTGGGTCTAGAGCTCGGCATCTTGAAATCTGCGGCTTCGGTAGGTTCTGAGCCTGGCGCACAAACCCAGAGAGCGAGAGAGACATGCATGTACAGTGCTCAAGGCTTTCAGCTTCGCATGGACGGTCTTTGGGAGGCGATGTTCTTCTTTGTAGCAACATTACTCTACTGACAAACTGTGGAATTCATGTTGCCTTCCTTGTTATGAACGCTGGGTGATGTTGTCCATCAGCCGCTATCGATATTTCGCTCGTCGGTGTCGACTTGTTTCTGAATCTTGCGCCCGCAACCCTGACTTTGAGCCGAAATCAGTGTCATATGCCCTTTCGGATACTCCTGTGGGCAAAGGGTTCCACTGGTTTCATGTGAAACTACTTTGCTAAACCTCACTGGGGAAGCCCTAAAGCCCCTAAACCCTAAACCTGAAATCCAAGCCCGAACCCCTAGATCCACAAACCCTAAACCTGAAAGCCCAGACTTAAAAATCTAAGTCCTAAATCAAAAACCTGAATCCTAAATCCTTAAACCCTGCACCCTGAACCCTAAATTCTTAAATACCCAGGCCTTAAATCCAAATCCTGAAACCCTACCCTGAACCCGACACCCCGAAGCCCTAAAGCCTAAAGCCTAAACGGTCCTACCCAGACAACCCTGGAGCCGGGCTGTTCGAAGAAGGCTTTTGGAGAGGTTGATATGGAAGTTTCCGAAAATTAGAGGTACCTTATTTTTGGGTCCTTATAATAAGGATCCTACTATGTAGGGGTACTATATTAGGGTCCCCTATTTTATGAAACTCCCATATTGTGGTTACTACACGGGTTAGTTTACAGGATCTCCAGATTGATTTTTTCTACAGGGTTTAGAACCAACCGAGCCCAGAATGTGGCCCGAAAGTTATGTCGCATGTAGTCCCTTCTCGGCTCCTCGCGACCATGGCCAGTTGTAAACACAAAGCAGGTTCCCAGAGCCTTCAATGGGCCTGAAATCAAGGTCTACCTCAAGCCATATGACATGAGGATTAATGTAGGAGCCTGATTGAGAAACCTTGCGCCTTTGTCAGGGTTCCTTGTATGAATCCTACTATTTTGGAGTCATAAGCCCAGGGTTTCTTAACCAGGTTCCTACATTAGAGGAAACCAAGCTTTTGAGTCACTCTACTGCCTCTCAGGAAACGCTCTGGTCGTCCTGTGCCCGCTGATCCCGGGAACCTCCGGTAAGGCTCGCTCCATCAAATATGATCATCATGATACCGCGACGGTAGTGCTGGTGTTTTTGATGATGATGGTGATGATAATGATGATCATAAATATGATGTTGGTAGCTATGATGACGATGACGACAGTGATAGCGAACATGATGATGATGATGATGATGGTGATGGTATGATGTCAACCAACAGCGAGCGTACCAGTAGCAACTGCAGTAGTAGTAGTAGTAGAAGTAGTAGTAGTAGTAGTAGTAGTAGTAGTAGTAGTAGTAGTAGTAGTAGCACTAGCACTAGCACTAGCACTAGCACTAGCACTAGCACTAGCACTAGCACTAGCACTAGCACTAGCACTAGCACTAGGGCTAGGGCTAGGGCTAGTGCTAGTGCTAGTGCTAGTGCTAGTGCTAGTGCCAGTGCTAGTACTAGTACTAGTACTAGTACTAGTACTAGTACTAGTACTAGTACTAGTAGGAGCGGGAGGAGGAGGAGGCGCTCTAGCAGTAGTAGCAGAGTCAATATTGCTGCTGCTTTCGCGGATCTCGGTCCTTCAGCCCAACACCTCCCCAGAGAGCCCAATACCCCTTAATACCTAGGGTTCCTTAAAGGGGCTCCTTAAAGGGATCTATACGGGCTCTATAAGGGAATTAAGGAATATAGCTTAAATTCCAATATGAAGCCCTATATAATTTAAGCCATATTCCTTAGTTAAGGGGTATTGGGCTCTCTGGGTCCTAGCCCACTTGATACGTAAGATTGAAGACAGTCGCTCGGGTCGGAAGTCGAGTTTTGTCCGCTCGCTAGGGTTTCCTAGCGCCTTGTAGTGAACAGATTCCTGTTTAGGTCCTGTGTAGTAAAATTCATCGAGGCCGTGTTATCTGATTCCTAGCAGAGTAAGGGTGGCCTTCAACAAGCTCCGCTACTTGGGGTCTTTCAAACTCGGGCAGCAGCCGTAGTTTGGAAACCTATACTACTCAACGGGGCTTAACGGGCGCGATCAGGGTTCATTAACCGAAGGGGTTATTTAAGATGACAACTTCATTATCTGTCTATGATCGTACGGTGTTGGCTGAATGCCTAGGGCGCCAAGACTTCTGCTTAGGAGCTTGATCTGACCTGCACGGATTTTTCAGCCCCTTATAGAACCCTTTTAGATCCCTTAAAGGAACCCTTAGAGGATCCCTTTAAGGAACCCTTAAAGGATCCCTTAAAGGAACCCTTTAAAGGAACCCAGGGTGCAGGCTCCAAGCCTGAGCCTGGCACCCGAAAGCCCAAAGCCTAAGGGGAATTAGGAACAAGAACACGGCCTTGCGGTGTATTCGACTAATAAACATATTGGGGAAAAATATTTTTCCCCCAATGTGTTTAGACTTAGGAAGAAGAACACGGCCTTGCGGTGTATTCGACTACGTTTGTATATACCTACTCAGACCTGTACATGAATGCCAGGTGGTCTCCATGAGCCGCATCGGTACCGTAAGTGGGTGGTTGAAATCTCGACAGGTGGTCTCCATGAACCTCCTACTCTATGCCAGCCTTGTGATGACTGCCTTCAGCAAGCCTTGGCGAGTCTCGCGGCGATGACCTTCTTTCGTTCTTGCTGGGGCTTACCTTTAGCTACCATGAACGTGACACCCTGCTAATTGCCACATATCCCGGTTGTGGCATGGAAAACCGCATGATTTACGAGAGGTTCCTATTGTAAGAGCTTACATTCAATTCACTTTCGCAGGGGCATCGGCTTCCCATGGTTTCGAGATAATTAGAATAGAGTTTTGGGACCTATTTTGCTATACTTATAATAAGGAACCCCCAAGAATCTAGGTAATTATTTAGGACCCTGTAAGTGGTTCTTTCACGAACTAATCAGTATCATAATTCCAATTGAGGATCCTGTGTCGGGAATTTCTGTATACTTATTACCTACTTGCTTGGGTTCGTGCGCTTCTGTGGATAGTGCGGGGACCCCATAAGAATAAGACACCCTCAAACCCATACTGGGTTTGAGGGTTTAGGGTTTAGGGTTTAGGATCGCAAGAAGCCCGTTTAAGCCGTAGCAGCCGTACCTGAGGCCCCCAATGGCCCTCTTGCAGCCCGTATCAAGCAACTGCCAGACAAGAAGCTACCCCAACCCCTGAACCCGACTCCAAAAGCCATAACTGAAAGACACAACCACAATCATAGCGATAACAATAATAGGGCAACAATCGGAAGATGAACACATTCCCTGGCCCGTGCCACGCCCTGTCGAGGCTATGCCCTGCAACTTCCTGGACATGGCTTTGATCACAGGCCTTTGGTTTGTGTTCCCCAATACAATGTATGGGCCGTAATAAGTTGAACAGGGTTTTCGTCTCCTTGATACTTTAAGTTTGGTGAGGAGCCCTAAGGAATAACATTGGTATTTTTTTGGCTTCTACATTACTGAGCAGTGTAGGCTTCAGGTTTCTTCATGTACTTATACTCTCATGCCCTGGGGGGGGTTCACGAAATAGGAGATCGAGAATAGCATGATAAGCGCCGGAACAACTACCAATATCGCGCCTCAGGGTTTTCAATACAGCCTTAAACATGACTCTAGTTATGAAGACTCGTGCCTTCGCTGCCTATACTTAGGATTTAGGTTTCGGTTTAAGATGTACGGCAAAAGCACACGATTCGGCTTTCTAGTCATTAAAGCCCCCAAGTCCAAAACCACCGGGAGGATTTTGGAACCACTACGCATGAAGGATCGTGGTTTTTGCAGTACATACTGGACACGCTCGACCGTCATGGCATGCAGTTTCGGGGCAGTGGACGAACCAAAAAAATGCAAAAGATGCTATCCCCAGGATCAGACCAAAGAAGTCTCTGATCTGATTTACACAATCCATCTGTATATATATATATACATACATACATACATACATATATGGGTGGTTGTCGAAATTATGGTCCCTTTTTTGGGTCCCTCTTGTAATACGGCACCTATTATTTAGGGTACCCCAAAAGGTACCTTAATGTTGACAAGTACCCGTACATATAGGAATGTGAGTGTACACCTATGAAATTGACGAGTACAGAACCGCACAGAGTGCTTCCCTTCTTCAGGCATGTTGGTGATCCTGGACATGGGATCCCTGTTCGTGGGCGAAGTCGACGGCGGTGTGACAATGGTCATTTGAGCTTTGGCTTCAAACGAATTTGCTCTACGTGAAGTCTCGGCTTTCAAGCCCTACACCATAGTCTAAGTTCTCCAAGACCCCTTCTTTAAGTTCTCGGCTTTCCAACTGGGCAGTGTCGCTGAAGCTTAAGCAGGGTCTTGCTGAAGGGTCATGGTGGGTTCGGTACGACTCCCTGCAGGGTCTCTCGAGAGTGTCACAGACATTGATGAGGATGCGTGAGTGGTTAAGTTTTACCAAGATTACATGCTAAACCCCTAATCCCCACACCCGAATCTCTAAACCCCCAAAGACCGCCCGAAAAGTTCGATGCACCTTTGATAAGCCCGAACATCGGAACCCGAATCCACAAGCCAGACCACCGGGAGGGTCTACTAAAGGCTCGTTTAGGAACCCCCATTCAGGGATCTACTTTCTATACTACTAACGGCTCTTTTAGGAACCCCCATCAAAAGATCTACTTTCTAGATCCTTTCCGGGGGTCTCGGGAAGCCAGAAAGAGCACTGCCAAGGCTTGATCTTCTCGGCGTTGATGCTCCTGTCCATCGTCGCGGCCGTGGGATACGGAATCACCAAGTAGCTCGCACAAGAGTTCAGGGCTTTGGGGTTTCGAGTTTAGGGTTTGGAGTAGGTATTCCAGTGTACTTGGGGGTTTGGAGTATGTGGGCATTGGGGTAGGTGTGCGAAAGCCTCCCAGACAACACGAAAGGTCGAATCTTGAAACTAACTCACCCTGACGCCATCGGAATCCTGGTAAAACTTTTATCAAAGGCTACCAAACCCTAAACCTCAAACCCCGAACGACAAGAACTTTAACGATTGACGGGATAATTCCACGGTTGATGGTAGAAATCCTGCATTACCTTAAGGGCCTTAAGCTATCGGAATAATGGTATAGTCCTTATTATGGGTAATACAGGTTTTATATCATCAACCGTAGCACCTGAGACCTGAGTCATTTAGGGTTTCTCGGACGTCAAAGGATCGCCAAGTAGCTGGGACCTGCAAAAGACGACTCTTAAGTCTACTAGGATCTCTCCCGGTTTCTCGTAAACTAGGTTCCTGAGAAGTAGCCTATTTGCCCTTGTTGGTTTGGGGTCCCCTTCTTAAATTAGAAACCGAATAGTCGGAAAAAACGGTTCCTTGTTATAAAGGGGCTACTCAGGAACTTAGATACATTTTGGGAGGGCGTTTATGGGCTTTTAGAGGGCCTATCGCTCTTTGCGCAGGGTCTGCAAGTCATGATGGATTCAAGCGGTGTTTCCTTGCGTTTCGCGTTTCCTTTCTCAAAGTGACCAAGAGGATCGAAGAGCGTTCCCGAAGGTCGCGGTGTTGCAACGTGGGGCAGGTCCCTAACACCACACAAAGACCCGTGGGTAGTTCTGTGCATTTTAGGATCACCAACGTTTGAGCAGGGTGTATCTGGTTTGGGAAGATTCCAGAGCTATGCAATTCGATGATTCAGCTCGTGGTATTATGAGAAGCTTTCCCAGTCAATTTGCCTCGAAGTATGCCTCCCACCCAGAGGCTCATAATTACACTGAATTACACGTGCATGCAGACGATACCCAAACATGTGTACATAGCTTCCGAGTTGCAACCGCAGCTCGCACACCTCTCCAGGTGCTCTAACTTCGAGGGTGTTTTCAATGTTGGCGAGACACTTCGCACGACTGTCTAAACCCTTCCTGGCTTTCTTCTGGGTGTTCCTTAGAAATCATGATTCATTGTACCGAATTAATTTGATAAAGCCCGAAGCCAGAACATTCTTGCCTCTAAACCCGCAACGCTGGCATTTCATGCTCCCAAACCCGAAACCTTAAACCCCTGATCCCCTATGCCCTAAACCCCAAAACCTGAACCTAGGAACTTCATGCTCCTCAACCCTAAACCCTAGAACAGTCTTGCCCCAAAGCCTTGAATCCCAAAACCCCAGCCCTAAACCCTGAACCCCAAACCCTCTACCCTAAACCACCCTAGATCGGAAAGGAGCCCTTTAAAATTAAACACAATTTTAATTTTTTTTTTATATTGGAGCCCTTTCAAATTAGAATTCATAAAAAAAGCCACCCTGGACCCAGGCACTTCATGCTCAAGTACCGCAAGCCTTTTAGGTCGATCGGAGGGAGGGTTTCGATGGCGTTTCGATGGCCGTTTCCTTTTTTAAGCAAGGCTGGGGGACGGGCCCTTAGTGTAGGGGCCTTAATAATTAGAGCAGGGTTCCTTTAAAGGGCTGGAAGAGAGGCTTGAAAGGGCCCGTTAAGGCTTGGCTTTATGTATCTTTGCCTTAGGGAGCCCTGGCTAAGATTGTCAATTGCGTAAAAAAAGGGGCCTGTGAGGGCTCCCTGGAGTTCAGGGGTCATAACCTACTATTTTGTAGGGTTTGGGGTCACAGCTCCTTCTGAAAGGGTTGTATGACGGGTTCTATGAAGGGTTAGCATAGGGAGCCTTAATGATCTAATTGGAGGTGTTCAGGTGTTGGGCGGTGTTGGGCTTGTGTTGTTAATTGGCCTGCGTAGATTCCCGCCGTTTGATGGTGAGCATGGGGTCCTGAAAATGTCCTCATGTGTGGAAGCGGCCAAGAGCCGCGACCCTACGTAGGGGCCTAAAAAATTACAGGCACTACTTTGGGGTTCCTGATTATATTTGTAGTCTAATGAGCCCCAAAACCCTGTTCTATTTACTAAGGCCGCTATACTATAGTACCCTTAATAGATCATAGATTACGTATAGATCCCTTTAAGGATCCCTTGAAAAGCCCCCAAGCCCAAAGCCAATAACTCAGTTCAAAAACCTCAGACCGAGATCTTTGAAACGGAACAGACCAGTTGAAAAATGAAAAAAATGAAAAGAACGCGTAAACCCCAAACTGAAACCCCTGAAGCGTACCTGCCAAACCCTAAAGCCGCACTGCAGGTACTTCCTCTGCCACCAGAAGATCCAGGCCAATCTTAGGGTGGTTCCAGCTACCTTCAGACTTCATAGAGTACCTTGAAAATAGAACCCTCTAAAAGGTATGCCGCTGCTCTATGGCTTTGGGGTAGGTAGGGTTCCTTGTTGGGATTCTGGGTACAGTGTTTCCCCTTCGGTGCTCGATGGATCAATTGGATTCTACCAGTAGCGAATCCGCAAGAATCCAAACAGACACAGATAGCCTACCGATAGTTCAACGGAAAAGCTGCTTAGCTACGTCCTAAGCCATATGACATGATTCTCTAAGTACACTTTGAATCAGGGAGGTCCGAGGATTCGGTTTGGAAGGCAAACTTTGCAGAATGAATATGCCAGGCAGAGGATTTAGGGTTTGGGGCTTTAGGGTTTACCTTTTTAGGGTGTTAGGGTGTTAGGCGTTTAGGGTTTAGGGTTTAGGATCTTTTCTTGCGGCAGTTTAGGAGTAGAAGCGTCAAGAAGGTATGCTACCATTGGCATGTAGAAGCCTGAATCATTGCCAATGTTCTTTCTGCGAGCTTCTTGTTATATGCAGAAGAGACTTTACCCAGAACCCTACCTTCGTTGTTGAGGCTCCTATACCGAGATTTACGGGAGGATCCAACAAGTAGATCCCTGAATGGGGGTTCCTATAAAGTACCCTTAGTAGTATAGGGCCCCAAATTAGGGGATCTACTTTCCCTTTTGGATCCCTAAACCCTAAACCCTAAACCCTAAAGGATCCCTTTAAGGAACCCTACTAAGCCCCAAACTAGGGGATCTACTTTCTAGATCCTCCCGGGGGTTGGGTACTAAACAACCTGGTCTTGTTGTTTGAGGATGTGGGGTTCAGAGTTCGGGTTGCCCTGCCCAGTCCTGAAAGGCCGGAAGCTACGCACGCTTGCTGAAGATGGACATCAAGATGCACTTGTTCGTTTGAGGGGGAGGTTGAGGTTTAGGGTTTGGGATGCAGGTGTTTTTGGTGGGATTTTGAGGTTTAGGGTGTAGGATGCACTTCGAAAAAAAGGGGAAGTTCAAGTAACGCCAATACCCTCTCCATTAGGTTTCAACTTGTGTTTTCGGGGTTTGAGGTTTAGGGGCTCCGAACACCTTGGGAACGAAGTAGCAGACACGGCTGTGCGCCCAGAAGCCCCTTTTAAAGAAAGGTCGCTGAAGCCCGAAGGAGAGTCACGCGGTAATGCCGAGTTCTGTTTCCTTAGATGACAATCAACAGGTCACGGAAGATTTCATCGAATGTGTCGCCGAAAGGTCCAAGAAATAGTTCAGTAAGATGTCATGGCAAGTGTCATCGATAATCTCACCGAATATAAGACGTGTGGCATGAAAATCGCCTCAGACCCCCTACCTCAACCAGATCGCTGAACCCTCAATATCGGTACCCATGAATAGATGCTCTAGTCGGACACGACAACACTACTTCTTGTCGGCAGTGGTGAACCTGGCCTCCTCAAATCTGTATCAGCCTTTGTCCGTCTATGAAGCCAGAACGATGGCTGTCCTGAAAGACTTGAGCAATGCTCAGCTCGATTCGGAGCTGCGTATCAGCGAGTGTGTGATCTAAACACCCTAGATCAGATTTACGCGTCGGAACCTCCTGTACCAGATGCTGTAAGTCTTTTCACACCGTCGCTTGTTTCTGTTGCTGCATGGCACCGGTTATCCAGAACGAGCTGCAAGGGGAGCTTGTTTTCCTGACTCTTCCGACGGCTATGTCAGTGTGGAAGTGTCGTCCTCGAGCAGAGCACGCTAGTTCAGATAGCGATGCAGCCGCAAGGCCAGGAAGGAACAGCATGAAGGGCAACTAACCCCTTCACCATAGATCGCAGCACCCCGAACCCCGAAAATTTTGAATCGGATCTCCACCGGATGAGGCGGCTTCATTGAACCGCCAGACAATTTTAAGCCGCAACTTCTCGTCTGGGGCATGTTGTAGCATATTTCGTCCCATTTCCCGTTTAACGCCGAATACGGCCACCAAAGCCCCGTCTTATGGCTCAGGCCCCTGTGTGGAGGGGTATCGGGCTGTTCTGAATCCAGAGACTCAACAATCCTGGGGGTCCCCCCAGCGTAGTTTAGTGTGTCCCGCTCAATGCAGAGGCTCTGGAGTCTCTTCTTCACCCCTACAAAAACCGTGATAAGGACCCTCACTACTAGGACCCAGAGTAGGCCCTTATTCCCTTTTTTGAGGGTTTAGGTTCCCTTATAACCCACTTGAAGCCAAAAAGGGCACCCTTTTTATTCCTAGGTTACTCTTAGGTCTAGACTAAAACCCTGTGTGAACACATCTCGGAACCCTGTAAACCCTGCAAAAACATTGTACTCCGAGGAGTGCGGCAAGCGCGGGGCCAAGTACTATTGCTTCGCCCCTCAGCTGCACTTCAAGGGCTGCTTGATGGGTCTTGGGTCATGCGGTCATGCGACTTGCGTAAGAGGGTTTACGACTTTAAGCGGGTTATGCCGGTGCTCACGAGGTGAAAGACTTACCTCAATTGTGGGTTTCCCTACATGCAACCTGCTTGCTACGTCCCCTGACCCTCGAAGTATCCTTGCCTAGGTATCGGTTTGGATAATTTTCAAGTTCCCTTGTTGCGTAATATACAGCCTTACTTGTAACATAGTCTTGCGGACGGTTGAAATCCACACCTGGACTCCTAATTCTTATAGAACCCTTCTAGTTACCCTGAAAGTACCTTTTCAAAGGAACCCTGGTTTTCCATGCGCATCTTCGTCCAAAAAGTTCTTCGGGTTTCGACTTGACGGCCATCTGGGAGGGTTTCGGGCTTCGAGTTTAGCGAAGGTTGCTTTCCCTTCAGGATCTTCTGGTAAACATGGTGGAAATTGAGAAAATTGATTGTTATATTTGTCTACTTACTGGTTTACGCATCTGTATACATGCAAAAATGCATGCATACATCGTCTTAGGCGGGCCTCGGAGCAGGATAAGCAATGCAAACCGAGCCAAGCAAAGCCGCACAAATGAGAGAATTCTTAAACCCCTGTCCAGCAAAAAGCCGTATCCATCATCACCTTTTCCAAGCGAGAACCAATTCCAACACAAAATGTCATAAAGCTGTACCGTTATCATAACAGGCCTACAGATGATGTGCATGTATGTATATATACATATACATTTATTTGCATACACATTCCCTTCAAGTCAGGGTACCAAAGGCCCCAGTTGAAGAAATGGCGGTCGAGGACTGAAGGCTTGAGGATTAGATGGAAGGCTTTAAGCGCAGGCCTCTACCTTTACCCCTAAACCCAAACTCATGAAGCGCTCGAAGACAAGCTGTTAAACCCTGCACCAGTCCTGCAAAACACAAAAAAGACCAAGCACACAATCGCAGCATCACAGGTGGATTGCGATGACCTCAACGACCTTACCAGGCCTCCGAATGCCCGTGGCAACTTGCTAACAGACATGGCCGAATATTTGTTAAGACTAAGACTATCCCTCTTGCGTGGTCTCTATAGGACTGTACGCCAATATATCCCCAAAAGATACTACAAGATGTCCCCCAAACGCCCCTATATCCCCCCCAAAAGCCTATAGATCCCCCCAAAAGCCTATAGATCCCCCCAAAAGCCTATTCTAGTTCTTAAGACCCGTGACATGGAACCCTATGAAGCCGTGTGCTATGCACACGGAGCCTGAGGCTCAGGTTCCAAGGCTGTAAGAACCCCCCAAAAAAATGAAAAAATATATTCCTTATGGGTGTAATATAGGGATTATTATTTTCATTTTTGGGTGTTTTTCTTAAGCAAATAGTAGTTTAGTATAGGGGCCTTAATGATTTCATATACTATTTTGGGACTATGGGGTTTCCTTGTTTTTTAGTCTCATGGGCCCCAAAACTCTATTCGAATTATCAAGGCCTCTATAGTAGGGTTTAGGGTTTAGGGATCAGTGACAGTAAGCCGCCTTCAGGAGCTCAGTCCTAGGGACCTCTTTTCGGATCTAGAAATTAGAACACGAAGGAACGCCAAGGTAGCGCATAAGCCTCCCGATAGTAGGATACCTGTTTGGTGGGTCCTATTCTTTAGATCCTGCAAGGGGTCTGGGACTGCCCCGGAAAAACACACTCTTAACGAGGTATCGATTTGGGACGAATTTCAATGTCCCTTATTGTTTAATATAGAACCCCAATTATAAAGAAGTTGCGGGACTGTTGAACTCGACACAAAGTTAAGCTTCAATTCCATCAGTACCCATACCCCTGACAACATCTCCCCATCATTATCCCTAGCCCGATAGGGTCTGGGATTTTGGGGCCTTGCAACCTCCTCAAAGGGCAACTCTCGGATCTACTGTGAGGATCAGGGACTCAGTCGGTGGGATATCACTTGTCTAGGTGGCACTTTGGGAAACTCGAAGATTTCCCTTATGGTTCCTATAGAGGTACCTATTCATAATTTCTTTTAGAAGGTCCCAAAACTACAACCCAGTTGTCATGTCTGCGAGTTTGCCGGGCAGCCACTGTTTGTCTGGAACCGACAATCAGCGAGGATGCCAAGAGCCCTTTGGCCCCTGTCCCTATCAGATCCTGCTCAAAAGAGTATATAGCTATTCCTCTAGCAGGACACCTGCAGGTTTCATGCAGCATTCCGACAATCGGGCTACCAGTCTCCTTCTTCAAGAACACAGGCTCTCAACCTTAAGCACTACACCCAATCAGCCCCTAAACCATTGCCCAAAATGCCAGGCTTTTCAGCTACGTCGGTCAAGACAGCGAGACCTTCGTCATCCTCGGCAGCCCAGACATCATGACACGAAAATGGTGACTGGGCTCAGACGTGACAGACTTTGGAGTCTGGTATGGTCGATACTTGATTTTAGTTCATTTTGTTATAGCCGGTTATATTTGCAATGTTAGCCTTGTTTATGTATATATGGATATGACACTATACTGTATATTGATAATTTTCCTTGGTTATCTGATTGTAGCCATATAAAGGGAACTCCAGAAAGTTGGAATATGGATTAATGGTAGGATACCTTATAATTTACCATAGAAGGGGTTACGATAATCATATTCCAACTTTCTGGCTTTTACTTTTCGCAGCCGTTTTTCCCAGCAACGGTGTTTTTGTCGGCGGCCGCAGTCTGTGAGCTTGCGGAAGACAGGACTGGAGCTGAAAACACGACAGGAGGTCTCCCCAACCTTGCTACATTTAACGTTATAAAATTGTAGTATAATATATAGTAACAAATAAAATATGAGTTGATTATGTAATAATGTATTTCGACAAGATCATTGTACATCCAGGTCCTGCTGTGATATCTTCTTTGTTGGAAAGACAGCAGGGTACCCTTTATTGCAGAGCAACCTATGCAATTTGAATCCGAGGTGCGTGGGCGAGATGGTCACTGCGCCTTGGAAGGAAATTCAGCCCTAGCCGTCGATCCTTGGTGGTCCTTCAAAATCTTAAATTCTGATCCCAGCCCCCTAAATCTCAAACCTTAGACAATGTATGGGGATGATTGCGGAAATAGTGTCCTTGGTCTCGTGATGAAGATTTGGCATTCCTTCTTCCCCCTCAACTTTGAGTTGCATCAACACTGCTTTTCGGGTGTTCCAGAATGCCGGTAGAGGCTTCTTGAGCAGGCTGGGTGCATGTGGGATTGTTGCAAATGTTCGTCCGAAGGAGCATCGGAAACAAACTTCCGTATAGGAAGGTCATCCTGGAAGAAGCATCTCTAGCACACAGACCGCACCAAATGTTCCATTTCCTCCACAAGTCAAGTCCCCAGAAAGCCTGTGATAAAGCTCATCGAACCGAGTAGGGACAGCTTGAAGATCGCCCATATTGGCGGACTGCCTGACTCTTCGTCTTGGTTTCACGAAGCCCAAAGAGATCTCGGGCGGAAGTTCAGAATTAGTAGCAGAGTTCGGTAGGGTTCCCTAATCTAGTATATGCCCCAGTGGTATAGGCCCCTTAGAACCTGAGTCTGTTTGTTAAGACCCATGTATTATGTAGGGTTGTTTTTCTACAAGCTCAGGCCCGAAGCCACAAAGTCCACAGTGTCTTGTTGATGTGGCCGGACTTCGTGACGCCCTGCTGCATGTGTTGCGTTGCGGGACCAGATAGCAGAGACCGAAGTAACGACTGCGAAAGCCCTAAGTTGAGTGATACTATAGTCTAAGACATTTACAGGTGGGTAGTTATAAGGTGGGTAGTTTCCCATAAGCCTCCCATACCACTCCTATAAGGTAAAGGGGTCTTATGGGAGTACTATGGCATTACTATGGAAGAGGAACTACTCACCTGTAAGGGGCTTCTATATAGGGGTCTGAAGCAATATTACTCTTTCGTGTTCCTTTTCAGATTCATGGCAGGAAAAGATACCCCAGAACCCTGTTCTGTTTATGAAGGCTTCTATATCCTTCTTGAAGTTATGTCTTCTCGGTTTGCAGTCATATATGAAGCCTGACCATTTCGCGAGGCCTGAAGCCTACTGCCTAGTGATGTTTACACAAAGGATCCTACGATTAAATGTCTACAATGTGGTTCCCTAATTTCTGAAACTTACTCACGTCTGTCGAGACTATACGTTAAACCATACTCGGACCCCGCTCTCCCCATGGTTCGAAGGTGGATTCCTCGATTGGGGGTGTTTGGAGTCCCTTAGTAGAGTGCCAGTTACAAGAGTGTCCATTGAATTCGGCTTTGAGTTTGTAATGCTAGTTGGAAGTAAGGTTGAAGGCTTCTGTTTCTCCGAGAATGGCCCGTACATGTATACAACATCTTCTTGAACGTTCACTGATATTTTCCACCTCTACAACATCTTCTTGAACGTTCACTGCTATTATATGTGCTACCATTATCTTGTAATCACAATGATGGAACTGATTGAGTTTGACCCACATAGTCTTGCTGCGGCGCAGTGCACAATCTTTGCACTCAAATCGTGCTAGACGTGCCTACAAAACGCGCTCGAAGTGCCTAAAGTCCGCAGGGCTACAGTGTTGAACTCTCGCGCTGCCCTGTGGCTTTAGCGGCTCAACAATTCGCCATGGATAGGTACCCGAAATTCTAAACCCCCAAACCCAGAACCCTTAAAACCCTAAAACCCCTACGTGGAGGGTCGGGGGACTTAGTAAGTAGGTAGCAAGTAGACTTATAAGTACCATAAACGGGACCTTAATTGGGGGTTATGGTACTTATAAGTCCCTAAAATAACAAGTTACTAAGTCCCCCGACCCTCCAAGTAAGGACCCTAATCATCGGTTGTTTGGGGTCTATGCCGGTCCAAGTGGATAAGCAGACGCAGGGCTAGCCAGGCCTCTGGGGGGATTTGCAAATGCACTCAGGAGAACCGAAAATAGACAGATGGGAGTTTCCGAAAATTAGGGGTGCCTTATTTTGGTCCTACTATTTAGGGTACTATATTAGGGTCCCCCATTTTCGGAAACTCCCATAGGGATGGAGCTGCAGCCATAAACCCTAAACCTGAACCGTCGGCCATATGTGACAGCTTCTTTACCGAGGAAGCCGGACAAGATCTTCATCGAGAACTACGACAGTGCCTGTCATGCAAAAGCAAGCCTGGCCGGTAAGGTTCAGGGTAAATGAATAGTAGATTTGGGGACACGATAGCAGAGGCAGCAACTTTCATACGGTTTGATTCTGGAGTGTTTTACCTCAGAACAGGAGCCCTTTGCAATTTACTGTCGTGTGTGATTCTTGATCTAAGAGGCATCAGGCTGTTTGCAAAGCCCGGCTAAAGCATCTTCTCCCTGATCTTCAATGGCCATAATGTATATGGCAGTTTCCGAAAATAGGGTACACTAAAATAGTACCCTAATAGTCGGGTCTTTATTATACAGACCCCCAAAAAAGGGTCCTCCTAATTTTCTGAAACTCCCATATAGTCACATTGAGCGACTGTAGGAGCCGTTCTGTCTACGGTACCACAGGTGATTTGCAAGTTGCAAATTGGGGCTTTAGGGTTTAGGGTTTAAGTAGCAAAATTGGGGCCTGCACACGGGCAGGCGCAGAGTCTGCGGATTCGAATCTTAGGTACTGTAGGAACCTGATGAAGAAACCCTGGTCCTATAACCCCCAAAAATTTAGGATCCATGTAAACAACCCTTATACGGATCCAATCTTTCTTGATCATTATATTACTATGAAACTCAGCCCTCTCGTATGATTTGCATTGATACAGATTGTTGGCTACATCGACGTGATGTGCAAATTGCTCTGCATTCTCTTCTTAATGTTGGGCAGCACATGTATGAGGAGGGTACGATATGTGTACGGTGTCACCTGTTAAAGCAACCTCCACTCGCACGTTTGTGATCATGATATTCACGTTGCTGGGCAATCGTGCCGGTAGCACCGCATACAAGAGGGGCCTAAATAATTACCTATACTATTTTGGGAGTTCCTTATTATACGTATAGTAGGCCCCAAAATCCTCTTCTAATTCTTCCACAGTAATTCCAGCTCGATGGAGTCTCGAAGCCCTTTATACCAAAACCCGCTTGAAGTTTCATGAGCAGTCTCACAAAGAAGACTAGAAGAAAGACCATGGGACTCTGCACGTGCTTTATTTACCCATGTGGGAGTTTCCGAAAATTCATAGGGATCCTTAGGGGTGTAGGGGGAGGGGGGGTAGGGGGCCTTAAGGCCCATGATAAGGACTAATAAGGCCTATTTAAGGAAATATAGTCCCCTACACCCCTCCCCCCTACACCCCTAAGGATCCCTATGAAAAATAGGGGTACCTTATTTAGGGGTCCTTATAATAAGGATCCTACTATTTAGGGTGCTATATTAGGGTCCCCTATTTTCGGAAACCCCCATGTCAGCTACTCCTACTAGCTTGTGCAGATGTCCAAGAGCCTTGAAGTCAAGCTTAAAAGCGGCCCAAGCTGAAGAGTGAGCCTTGCAGCTGACAGGACGACGCAAAAAGCTCGAGGCAAAGTCCAGGACTCAAACAGCCGAAGACCCAACATGCCAAGCCCAAAAACCCAGAACTGAAGTGGGCTTCTGGAGTCAGAGGTGCCTTACACATGAGCCCAAACTACAAGGCATACAGCTGCGTGGTACCAGACTCGTCCTCTGACCCTAGCGGTCTTGGATTTTTTTGCATTATTCTAAGTACGCTACAAGGCATTGTCCCAGACATCACGGAGCTCGCCAACTATAACATCGGACTCCCGGAGGCGTCACGATGTTGCGCTGTAGGGTGCATGCTTTCGACGTCTGTTTCCATCGGTAATGGTTTCCTCAGCAAATATCTTCCCCAGGGGGCGTTAGAGTAGAGGCTCTTTTGGGGTTTGATGTTTTTGGTGAGTTTGGGGGTTTTGGAGCCTTTCTGGAGTTTCTACTTTCCGTCTGAGGGTCGTCGGGATGTAGTTCAGGGTTTTCGAGATGAGTATTTGAAGGTACAGAGCTTGGAGTTTGGAGATTTTAGCTTGGGCCTTAGGCTGTCTACGTCGCCAAGAAAATCCGGTTCCGTTCCGTCGCCCCAGTCAAATCTGTACGGCAGGAGGTACCCTTCTAAAGCGATGCTCTGATATCCTAAACCCCATTGTCTAAGCCTAACAAGAGATTGCTAAGCAACCTAAATGCTCTGTACCCAGCAGGATCCGCTAGCAACGGCAAACAATCAAGTAGCACGCTTTGTAGGGGTGAGACATACGGGTTAAGAAAGCAGCATAGATTTAGAATAGTTTTGTACCAAGAATTCGGCATCGGGTATCCCATAGCCCTCTTGCCTCTCCTGTGATCTAGGTGTGGTGATGCCCCCACTGCAGAATTGCCAGCAAGCGTAGAGAGTATCATGTCATTTGTGTTGTATGTACCTACTACTCTCTCTTGTGTTGAGATCAGTTCTCGCTACTGTAGCCACTAGTAGTACCATTGTCGTCATGCGGTCGGTGTCGTCGGCCCTGGCAATAGCAGTAGCAGTAGTAGCAGTAGCAGCTGGTGCTGCTAAAGTAACAGTAGCAGGGGCCGTGTCAGGACAGGAGTACCGGAACTAGCTATAGTTCTATCGGTCGCCATGCAGGCACCTGTCTTCTAGGACTACGCCATGACTCTTTCTAGTCGCTAGTCACATTGCAAACACATTGAGTAGCTTGCCAAAAGAGCAATCCTCTGATTTCGTCGCCAGGCTGAGTAACTTCTTGACCTGACAAAGTGGGAGACAATGAGACCCGCAGGCACTGATGTAGAGATCGAGGCATGGAAGGTCTCTGAACCCAAGACTTCAAGCCCTGCTGTCTAGATCCTCCCAGGGGTCTGGATAAGTATTGCCAGGTCAGGGAGACTTTGGAGTGGATCAACACTATCGAGACCCTGGACGTTCCTGCATTGCTGAACCCGGTCGCTTGCTTGGTATGCGACAAGGGAAGTAGAGAGGTTGACTAATGTTGGCAGGGTGGTGTTAGTTATGGAGCGGTAGAGTGATTGCAAGAACCTTTTGAACTTCTTGGCAGGGCGTGTGGTTGCACGTTTAGCCCTAAACTCCCGAACCTTTTTGGTTGGGAGCCTACCTGGAAAAGGTAGGGGACACGTCCCTGCCAGGAGTAAAGGGGCACCCCTTTTGGCCAGGCTTCTCGTGTGTTGCAAGCTTTGGAGTTCCCTGCCAAAGCCTACTGTCGAGCCCTTCGCTGTGTCACCCCTGGGGACACCCAAGCAATCAAACCTTAAATGTTGAACCCAAAATTTGAGCCCGAAGCTTTCGGTGAGGCCAGGCCCACAGACAAGGTCTGCCAAGAAGCCCTTCAAACCCTTCTTTACTTACCTTTGGAAAGTAGGGAATGGAGGAATGGGTACAATTATCATTACTTTTGCTACCATTTTTCCATCCCCCACTAACCAAAGGTAAGTTTAGGGTCTTACCGCGGGGTACCTCAACTCTACAGGAGAACATCAGCGGGGTCATCAACGGCCTGACTGGGACGATTCGCGCGAAGTCGGTCTCGCATGAGAACCAGTGACATGGCTCATCTTTGCAGTTTGAGTAATGTAGGAGCCTTAATAACTAGATAGGGTTCCTCTAAAGGGTTCTTAAAAAGGGTTCCGTAAGGATGACTATGCGGCTTTAAAGAGGGGCCCTTAATAATCAGAATAGTGCTCGGGGGCAAATTAAATGCACTATAGTTTTAATGCGGAACCCCCAAAAGAGTATAGGTCATTCTTCAGGCATCGTTTTACCACTACTTTGTAAACCCGACTCGTTTCCTGGATCAGAATACGCCAACTAGGATGAACCGACAGAAAGTCTCTTCTCTCTCTTGCGGGTCTCGCTGATGGGAAAGAAGATTGGTGTGGGCTTCTCGGTGACCTCTGGTTTGTGCAGATGTAATATTTCTCTGACAGGTTAACCTTCTTTCCTTGTCATGTAAGGATTTGGCCAGAAGCCCCACACCAGGAGCCCAGAACGCATGAGGTTCTGACTGGACAGACCCAGCACCCCAAAATCCCAAATCGTACTCTCTACCCGACATCGACAGCGGTCCTCACTGCGCCCTGTGCAAGCTCCGTGTTAATTTTGGTGAGCCTTAGAACCCCAGAAGCCCACAGCCACCCAGAAGCACAGCCCCAAAGCCCTAAACGGAAGTTTCCGAAACAAGCAAATACACTTATGCGAAAGACCCAGAAATCCCAGGGGAGGGGAGGGAACTAGCTTGATCTGACTCGGTAATGACAATATCCCGTGGGAGTCTTTGTTTTCATGCTAGTCAAAAGACATCCAAGGCCCTATTTCGATACTCAAGCCCCTGCACATCAAACTTTGTAAACAACCTATAAAGTCCTGCAAGACAGGCCTGTAAAACACCAGAAGAAACTCTATAAAACCCTAAACCCTAAACCGTGTATAGAGCAGATTAAGGCCTCCACATTATTCCTTGTCATGCAAGGAGCCCAGACTGCCTCATCATCTCCGATTTGGACAACATGGAGGCTTGGTGTTGCGTCGCAGTCGTCCCTATTATTCTATAAAATCTTCGAAAAACCTTTACTATACCATACTGTATGTGAACGACAATAATATGCTAGAATAACGTACTATATTATGCCGTAGCACAAGTTTACGGTCACCCGGACCTCTGGCAGGATCTGGAAAGTAGAGCTCTTAATGGAGTTTCCTACCAAGCACCTTTTAGTAGCATAGGGTCCCAAATTAGCGGTTCGACGGTTTAGACCCTCCCGGAGGTTTCGGTAATCACCAAGCAGTTAAGGTTTAGAAGTGTTGGGGCTTTGGGTTTCGGGAGGGTTCTGGGGTTTGAGGCTTGAGTGGTGCGCGGGCATGTTCCCAGACCCCCGAGAGGATCCAACAGGTAGATCCGATGAAGAGATTCCCATAGGCCCTATAGAGTAACTAGTATCAGGCCCCAAATAAGCGGATCTACTTTCTGGATGCTCCAGCGGGTCTGGGTTAGGGTTCAGTGACACGTTGAGGGTTTCAGGTGCCTTTCAGGGGCCCCTTTGTTTGAAGGTTCATGGGGCTTTGTATTCCGCATGTGCTTGGGGTTATAAGGACCCCAAATGGGGTTGTCCTGACAAAACTCCATTTTAGGGTTTTGGGTTTAGGGTTTAGGGTCCCTCTTCTTATCATCCCTTGCCCCTCCTCATCGCATGTTGATTCTTCTTGCTGATGTCCTCATTTTCGGTGACCGATTTTGCTGTTGTGACGGTGATGAGTTGCCCCAGGACCAAACCAATCCCAATACCGGGCTGCTCTGTGAAAGGAAGCAAGGAGCGTTTCGAAGCCAAGGCCCGAAACCTCTAGTTCGCGGAAGAAGAAACAGAGAAGCTGAACACCGTAAGCCCTAACTCGAGACTTCCTGTCAGCCCCACAAGGGTAGGGTTTTCAATGCCACAAACGTTACCACCATTAAGACCCCAGTGAGCCCCAAGAAACGAGTTAATCTTTAGGACTTTAGGGCCCAACAACCCCAAAACTCCAGGTCTAAACAGAAGAAGTGAAAAGCATGTCCAGGCTGCCGCCACTGCCTACATCCTTCTAGGATTGGTGGTGTCAAAGCTGATGGGAGGCCAGGGTGCTGTGAGCCGTAGCTTACTTCTCGAATGCCCAGTCTTTAACAACTTCGGAGGTTCTGAGATTGTCGATTTGTTCTGCTGGCGAAACCTGTTTTTCCTCCGGGGTACCGATGGCGTAGGCTGACTAGGTTCCTCAGTAGTGCCCTTTTGCCCTTCTTAGTCTGGGGTCCCCTTTTTAAAACCGAGTCGTAGGAAAAAGGGTCCCTATTATAATGGGCCTACTCAGGAATCTAGCTGAACAAGCCCGGTGGATCCTCGTGGTTTGGACATTGGAGTTTGCAATGAGCACTTATAGAATCCCGATAGATCCCTTTAAAGGGGCCCTTAAAGGAACCCTTATAGCTACCCATGAACCTCCAATTAGACTTACAAGCTTTCGAGTTTGAGGCTTGCGCCGAAAGGCTTCCGATGCTTCGGGCCCCTTAAGACCTCGACCTGTGGGCCCGAGGGAGAACCGGGTTTTGGCACGGGGCTTGCTTCAGGGTTTAAGGTAGGTCCCTGGCAAATATCCTCCCTCCCACAATCAGATTATTTTGCGCCAGGTCCTATGAAGACCCGTACAGCGGAAGAAGTTCTGCATAAGGTGTCTATATCACATCAGCCGATAGTTGCTACTCTGCTTTTTGCTCGTGGAGCCCCTTCTTGGTTTGCCATGGGCCTTCACGTTAGAAGGGGCCCCCACCCTGTAATAGTGATATAATAGGAATATATTAGGGCCCTAATATAATCCTTATAGTCGCTGTTACAGGGTGGGGGCCCCTTCTAACCGTCACGTGACGAACTGAATGTCCTGGAGGAAGGCGCGATGTTTAGCATGACTCTCGGGGTTGAGGTATCTAAGTCCCCCAGTAGTGCCACCATGTTTCTTCGGTGTCTCTTCTCAAGACACTGAACAGAAGGAGAAAGGATTATGAAGTTGTAGCATGTAGATTGTCTTAGTTCTTCGGTCCCTTACCTTGGAGTTTTGATTTCCTATGATGTAGTCTGACTTCGCAACTTTGACCCTATGTTTCTTCACTTTGCGGGTGTGTAAGCCTAAGGATGTGCTCTTGAACCTTGAGCGAGGTCAGAAGCACAACCAGCCGACTGTCTTGCAGAAGGCCACGCCGTATTGAGGGATGTGGGTGCTTAACCTAAACCTAAAGCCCTGACAACCCTCAACCCCTGTACTAAAGCACATCCTTAGCCGCAAGGCATTGGGCTTGGGGTCAGGACTTTTGGGGTGTAGCTTGGTGAAACTGGCCCAACACTTTCTGCAACTCAAATGGACTGTGGGCATTTGACTGCATTTTGGTGCCTCGAAGGTATGTGGGAGAAGGGGGTTCCTGTGCACAAGCACTCAGCTATCACTGAAGAGGCTGCGAGCACTACGCAGCAAAGCATCACAAACCTCGGAACGTCTCCACTCTGAACTTGCTTGCGCAAGAAGCCCCTCAAACTTAAACTCGCAAGGCTTCCCAAACTGGAAGGCTCTTCAAATCCAAAACCCCCAAACCGTCACGATCTCGACAAAACAAGCTCCTCAACTCAAAGGGCCATGGGACTTGGTAACTAGTAGTAGTAGTAATAGTAGTAGTAGTAGTAGTAGTAGTAGTAGTAGTAGTAGGGTCTTAATGAAGGTAACTATACTCATAACCGTACTAAGGCCCATGATCCTCCAAGAACCTTCGGCCCAGGAGAGGACCGTGCCCAAGAACGCCACCGCGGCCCTCGTGATTTGCAGCGACGGGTGCTTCAAATCCTTCCAATTCGCTGCTGCTTGTCCGCGAAAGCTTCAAGGATCTGTCTCAGTGCATTGTTGGTTTAGGGTGCTACGGCTTGCGGGCTAGAGCTTCATGTTAAGTGTGCACGTAACTCTTCACGAATGCCTGATGAAAGCCCTCATTCAGTTCTATAGACTCCTTATCAAGCTGGAGACACCCGGTAAACAGCACAACCAACCATGAAGAAGAAAACAAGCACCCATGTAGTTATCTTACAAAGCTTCGCAACAAGCATAGAAATTTGAAAGCAATTCCTAAAGCTCAGGAATGGATGCTGCAAGTGGCGATGTTGGAGGGCTGCTGCGTGCTGCCCATCATCGCGGAAGACGGCTTCCGCTTCCCTGCGCAGGCCCTGTGCCTGAAACCTTAGGGTATCCTGGGACAAAGGTGCTTGAACCCAGTGCTTGAAGTAGGTTTAGGGTCCTGTTGAATTTTTGTTGGGGAGCTGCGATGATTTTATGGCTGATGAAAGCACCTAAAGCACAAGTAGTGTCCATCCCTACGAAGTAGCTGAGCCTTGTGTCGCAAAGGGTTGTGCAGGTAGGCTGTCCCTGCGTATCAGGTCGGATAAAGTGCGGTGCTTAGTCTCACGATTCAGACACATTGGAGTGACAATCTTCCACAGATTGCTCCCAGCCTGCTACAAGTAGTCTTCTGTCCCAGGTGAAATCAGTTCAACCCTGAACCCGATAACCCGACTATAGGGGCCTAGATAATTACCTATACTATGTTGGTGCGTTCCTTATCATAACTATAGTATAGTATCATATACCCCAAAACCCAACTGAAACTATTAAGGTCCCTATACTACCTACTATCTCGAGCCTGCGAGCAGCTCAAGCCTGCGCTCTGAGCGAGGGTCTGTGTGCTACAACGGTCGTATAAGCAGAATCCGTAAATGCCTAAAGCACCGAAACAAAGGTTGGACCGCATATATATATATATATATATGTATGTATATGCATATGTATATATATACACTATAGCATATATTATGTACTGTATAATATACATCTCAGCTTGGAAACCTCGGGCTCAGAAAAGGCCGGTATCCGACTTGACCCCAAACCTGTACTTGGTTGGTGGTTCATGGGACTTAATAAACATAGTTGTGACTTCCTTAAATAATACCTGAAATGGGGGTTGAAGTAGTTGTAAGTATAGTAGATATACGTGTGTACATGAGGTTTGTAAGTAATTTTAAGAAGAGGTACTTTGTTTGTATATAAAATTTTCCTAGTTACTCAGTTCCATGAGCCTCCGAGTATTACCGAGGTCCCCCAGTGGTGCCCGCACGCCCTGTTGATTTTGGGGTCGCCTCACCAAAACTGAACAACCGAAACTGAATATGTCCTGTTATCATGGGATGGAGGTTTTTGTGGTACCTGACTCTCTATGAAGAGTAGGTTAGGTTTAAGGAGGTGTTCCTTAAACCTATAAGGTAGTTCAACTGATGGCCCTCATAGAAAGCTAGCAACTTACGGACCTTGACCTGCAGGCTCTGAATTACTGAAGTCCAAGCATTTCCGGAAATCTGACCCAGTCTGTATGACTCCCCTTCTGGGGTCCTGGACCCTGAACCCGAAACCCCCTGGATCAAAGAGCCCAAAACCCTAAACCTCCACATCTCCCTAAACCCCAAACCCTAAACCTCCACATGTACAGCAACCTCCGCCGCTTCAGACCTTCTACGATGACCTCGACAAGATCTCCCAGCTTGAAACCGTCGATCTGAAGACCTACAAGAAGTGCATCAAGGTGGGATTAAGGGTTCAGGTTTTTAGGCTTTAGGGTTTTAGGATTTATGAAGTGCCCTTTAGTAGTATAGGCCTGGGGGTTGGTTTAGGGTTTGAGGTCGCAGATTTATTGGTTGTATCCTGGCGCAGTGGCTATACATGGTGTCGCTGGGGGTTTGTCAAACTCAGTGGTGCCCTTTGTTCGGTATCCCTTTAGGTAGAATGCAAATGTGGTACTCCGGATCCATATCGAGCTTCACCATTTTCTGTAACCCCCAGGTGGGTTACGGTTGCGGTCCTCAGAAGTTTCGGGCGGTAGCATGTGGATGTGGATTTAGCTGATTCCAAAACTGTTATTCTTTGCCTTTGGTGGTGGCACTTCCTCGTGCGGCACTTGGCGGGTCTAGCTTTAGGGCATGAAGATGCATCTAATCAGCATATTGATCATTTCCGAGATCGCGGCATCAAGGCAGTGGTAGTTTCGGCTGCAGGATTACGGGCAGGTATTTAGGTACAACACGGAAACTTGCACGATACAGACGTGAGCCGACGGGTGTTTACTTTATCGCAAGAACCCGTTCCTTTGGTGCACAATGGTGCACCGAATACCCGATAAGAGTTGCTTTATGGTCTATTCAAAGAAGTATGGTCCCCTACCCCCTCCCCCTTGCCCCACAAGGGTCCTTATGAGTTTAGGGTTACAGTTGGCTTTTCCAGGCTATCTTCCAGGAGATTGCCGTGGTCTTCTCACCACAGAACCTTGGTCCCGCAGACAAGATCGTTTAGGTCAGAATCTTTGTAAGTGGATGTCTAGGCTCATGGTTTCCACTTGGGGCTCAGCGGCCGGTGCTTACTCCGCAGGCTGCAACAAGACTTTAAACTGAATAGTGTTCCGCAAGGGCTTCCGGTTTCGCTGGAGCTTACGAGGTTAGGGTTTTTACTCTTCATGGTTTCATGAACTTACGCGTCAGGGTTGTGTGTAACTGTAGGTACTTCTCAGCACGGTTCTGTAGGAATCGGCAAGCACAGCACTAGAAGTTAGGACACCGATGTTGCCATACATATACATATATATAGATAGATAGATAGGTAGATGGTTAGATAGATGTGTTCATTTGTTTGTTCCAACTAGTGAAGCGTAGGGGGATCCTCTTCTAGCTGCCAATCCATGAGCGACCGACTTGGTGCAGTAAGCCAACTATATCCCGTAGCACAACCCCAAACCCGCGTGTTGTGATTCCGAATACAGTCGGGCCGTATTCAGGTGAGTTGGCTGCTGGGGGCATGCTTCAACCCAAGGAATATATCCCGAGAAGCCTTGTAGACAGGACAATCCTGACAAGAGTAGTCTACTTGCCCAGTCCCCAATCGCTGATCCTCTAGCATAAGCAGTGGAAATGTTGTTATACATAGGATAGTCTTGATTCGATCCGTCTACTCTCTGTGCTTCAAGCACGACTTTGTCGCAACCCTAGACCCGAAACCCTAACAACCTCCCTAGACAACCGAGGAACTATTCGTCCACGGCCGAAGATTTGGACCTTCGCGCGAAACAGGCCAGCAATTGATTCTCTAAAGGATTGTCAAACCCTAGAACCCCGAACCCGAGCCACAAGACTTCAAACCCAGAAGAATCAAGCAAAACAGTTCGCTTCTTAGTTTGCACCCGAAAACGCGGGTGCTCTGGTTGCCCAGACTCCAACCACAACGGAGGAGCCGAACTTTGGGGCATTCTAAAGTTATAAGGGCTTTTAACAAAGCGTCTTATTGGGTAGTTCTGAAAATTAGGGGTGCCTCTTTTCAGGGGCCTGATCATACGGAGCATTTAGTGTCCATATTTGGGTCGGAACCGTAGCCTTCAGGAGCCCCCTGAGCCCTGAGGCCTAGACCCCAAGCCCTACACCCTGAGCCCTAAACCCTAAACATGAAGCCCTACACCCTAAAACACAAAACAAGGGGGATATGGGTTTAAAAAAGATACCTTTAAAGAATCCCGTATAGAACTATAGGTCCCACGACCCCATAGGTCCCATTTAAAGAACCCCAAAAGAACCCCTATTCTATGTCCAACCTATACCCTACTTGGAGGATCATAGGACTTATTATGTAAGGTTATAAGTACCTTAACTGGGAATATAAGGAAATTATCTACAAGTATAGCTACCTTAACTATAACCCTCGTTACTAAGCGACATGACCCTTTACGGAAGAAGCTTTATATTTCGATCTAGTTGCCCTCAAAGACACCCTTACAGTAGAAGCCAGAAAGTTGGAATATAATTATCGTAACCCCTTTAAAGTATATTATAGGGGATCCTACCATTAATCCATATTCCAACTTTCTGGAGTTCCCTTTCCGGGAGCCCTAGGCCCCGAAACCCTTCAGGTCGCCTGGCGCCTGAATTCCGGACAGCTGAAGTCGCTGTTCCAGAAGGTCCAGTCCAAGGACGATGGGGTAGTGTAGGGGTACCTTTAAGAGGTTCCTTCATAGGGGATCTATAGGGTTTTAGGGATTGTAAGGGTTCCTTTAAAGGGCATTATAAGGGTACTTTCAGGCGTTAAGGGTTTAGGGCTTTAGGGTTTAGGACGATGGGTGAGTATCCAAAAAGTAAGGGTACCTTAGGGCTTCTTTAAAGGGGTACTAGGAGGGCTCCTTTCAGGGCTCTATCGAGGTTTCGGGTTTCCGAAAATTAGGCGGTACCATATTTTGGATCCTTATAACAAGGATCTTAATATTTAGTGTACTATACTAGGATCCCCCATTCATGGAAACTCCCATGGGGGAGTGGGTTTAGAATTACGGTTCAGGGTTGCAGGGTATGAGAACTCTGTAGCGCTTTTTGTACGGGCTTTAGAAAGAAAGTTGTGTGACAGGGGCATTGGTAGAAAGAATTGGGTTTTGAGGTACACTTTAAGCACGAGCGGGGGGCCTACACCCTACCAATGCTGTGTCAGTGTTCGCCATCCTTTTCTATCGACCCGTGCAGGATTTCCGAAGACTTATAGTAGGTGGTCAAGCGTCCAACAGAGATTAAATGTAGCAACTTTTGTGGTCTTGTGAGAGTCATGTGGTCCTTGCTTTCATGTGCACATTTGCTACTCGAGGTATAACTCCAAGGCATAAACCTTAAGCCTTGAACCCGAAAGAGCCCCGGGTCGGCGCAGAATTTAGTGTTCGTTTGAATTATCGCGGTTGGCATTTTTCGAGCAAGGTATACACGAATTTTTCGACCAAGGTATACAGGACCTCAAGCCATGGACCCCAAACCACAAGCCCGAAACCCTTTATCCCAACACCTTAATACAATTATGGTCCTGCGTCGAGGAGCCCCCATCAAAATCCTTATCACTAGCTACGGGAGAGGGTTATGAATCAGGAGCCTACACTACTTGTCCAAAGCAGCCATCTAGGACAGTAGCTGCCGCCACAGCCCAGCAAGTCGCAACTTTGCACCTAAAGGAACTCCTAACACCACATCAAAAGTGCCGGCTGTAGCACAGCGCGAACCAGAATCCCGGTTCGATGTGCTAAGCCCTTGCCTTTGTGAGGACGACGACGAAATCATTGAGAATGGCGAAAGCAACCAGGTCCATTGCTCATGCCGCTGGTGTTCTCGAAATGGGATCTCCCAACAAGGATCGTTGCTTTCAGCTTCAAAGCAGTGTATTGGTTTAAGCCTTTCACGGTCTAGACTAGTTTTCCGGACTTGGTTCCTGGTCGAAGCCTTCAGCTCCACAACCTGGCGCGTTTTGCACCACAACTAACGGCCCCTTCGGATGCAGAGTAAGAGTATTGGCGAGGAGCCAGTTGAAGGTTGCAGAGTTCTGAGTGCGTTATTCAAGAAGGGATGGTCGTCACATCATCAGACTACCCTGAACGAGTCGCCCACACCGACAGATCCGATGTAAGGCTTCTGATATGGGGTTCTGGTGTTGGAGTGTAAAGGGTGTTTTTTGATTGTTTGGGGTTCAGCGTATAGGGCTTGGGGCCCAGGGCTGAGGTGTCGTCCTCTGCAAGGTTCTCACAGTGAGCCAAAATATTCGCTTCTGCAGGCCTTCCTTCAACAATGTAGGGATGGATCAAGGCTCCTTTCCTCGGTGTGGTCAAATCGAAAGTTTATTGCGGTTGGGATACTTGCAGTACCGTTTCTTGCCTCTTTGTTCATTCCCATGATTCCCAGCAAAGTTTTTCGCCGACAACACCCATGAATCCCGTGGATCAGGATTTTTTCCGGATTGGTAGAGTTTCTTACTTAGCATTCTGCCAAAGATATAACCCTTGCTTGCTATGAAGGCCAAGATCACGGATCTGGAGGACCTGCATTGTATATGGTTTTGGAAGCGTTCGATTCTTTAAGAGTCGAATAGTTTCTACAAGAGCTTCAAAGATGCAACATCTCATGTCAGATATCAGGCATCGCAGTATCAAAAGGAATACAAGCTTAAACAATTGCCAGCATTATTCCTTCTGGTTCTTGATGAGAAATCTAGTAGAAAGTACACCAAAAATCCATTGCACAGGCCCCTATACTAGCTTTGAGGCTTCTAGAGCCAGCCGTTGAACCCTGCAAACTCTGGTGGATGTTCGGCTGGTTTCGACTACGGTCTTGAGGGTTTAGGGTCTGCGGTCTTTAGGGTTCAGGGTTTGAGTGCACGTCGAGCACAGGGCACAAACCCCTACAACCTTGTGGAACTTTGGACGCCAAGCCCCGCACCCGAAGCTCCTATATTTTAAGTCCTTCACGGAAGGGTTTCAAAGCTACTGAGGCATTTCTTCTTCGACAGAACTTTACGTAGCATTCTGCGGCTGGGCAGGGTCGGGGTTAAAGATACGGGCCTGCCCCAAAACCGTCAGGAGGTCCAGGTGCCCTCGCTTTGCTTCGCAAACCTTTCGCAGCTTAGAGTTTAAGGGTTGCCCCTGCAGTGAGAATTCAGCGTCAAGACTGTCGGTAGTGGCAGTAGTACTCGAAGTAGTAGTAGAAGTATAGTACTAGTTGTTGTTGCTGTAGTAAAGTAGAACTGTAGTAGTCGTAGTGGTGGCAGTAGCGTTGTTCAGAAGATTGGACTCTTGGAAGGAAAATACGAAGGAGGAGAGACACGTGCGTTGAAGCTTCACAACTCCCTGAGCCTGATGCTAAAGCCTCCGTTGGCATGACTTCCGCGTGCTGTGTGTAGCAAGGGCTTTGATCAAGATGACCGAAAGGCCACTCGCCACTAGAGCTTTGCAGGTGGTTGCATGACCTCGGGCCAGCAAAGAGCACAGAAGTCATGCAAACGATGTCAACAACAGGAAGAAGGGCAGTTTTCCGCAGGATTCGAACACATTGGCCATCAACGACCTCGATGCCCCTGCGGAAATCGCTCCTTTGCGGCCACTGGAGAACCCCAAAACCGTTTAGGGTTGAGGCGTTTTGCATTGTAGGGTCCACTCCTGTAAGGACGAGGTGCACTGAAGCGAAGCCCGCATTGTGCCTTCTCAACTGTGCAACCTGCCGGACGGCCCCCGACAGCCATTGCATTCGTGATTACAGTATGTTCCATTTCACATTGCAATGGAACTTCAGAAGGCTGATAGAAGGATCAAGGATCTGCTTTGTGGGGTTGCCTCCAACGAGGTGAAAAGCGCTGAGTGTTTCAGGATTTTTTCTGGTTGAAAAGCATATGGCTCTAGGTAGACCCTGAATCGTTCGACCTTCGCTCTGCGGCTCAGGTTATGGCGGAAGAGTTCTGAGAACTTCCGTTTTCGTCTACTGTTTTTGCTGATGCTTCAAGCTGCTTGTCGGGTGGCTTAGGCTTTAGGTCCTTCATAATAAGAACGGGTCTGTTGTGGTATACTTTCATCTAAGAACCCAAAGGAATCTGTTGGTAATTGTGGTGTTTCGGGTTTTTCTGATATCTCATCTTTGAGACCGTGGTGCCTTCGATAGCCGAAGTACCATGATTTCTCACGCAAAATTCGGGTTGGTGCGACTGTGTTCTGGCATCCAAGACTTACTACTTCAGATCATCGAAAGTTTATACATGAAATCCTATGCAGGTAAGGGCACCTACGTTACGATTCGACACATCAGCACGTTGTAGCCGTAGGGCCTGGAGTGTTTGTGGAGCTGTAGGTAGGAGCCGTCGACAGTGTTCCCGATCTTGCTGACGGAAGTAGCACCCGTAGTCACACTTAGCAACAGTTGCAATTGGAGTAGAAGTCGGCGTTGTGGCAGCGGTAGCAGTGGTTGCTCTTAGTGTGTTTGTTGTTAAACGAGTGTCAACTCTGAACATACATCTGCCGCAGCGTGAAGCATATCACTGGCTGCAGAGAAGTTGCACCAGGCTTTTAAAGACTGTGGCGACATGCAGATAAGCGTTAATCTCGTTGCGTCCTCTCTCTGCTTGGCCACAGATTCTGCAAGCATGGCTCTAAGAGACATCGTGGAAAGTCTAGCTCATATTGCCTAGCCAACCCCCAACAAGAACCGGAAACTTGGGATTTGGGCAAGTTTTGGTTTTTTGCTGTGTGCGCGGCAAGCGTTTCTAAACCCCGATGCAGCATGCAGCCGTTGTCTGCTGCTTACACAACGAGCAGTTTGCTTGAAGACGTGAAAAAAAAAAACACCCGGCAGAGGCCGGTGGCCCCGGCCCACCACCGTGAGTGAGCATTTGGGGCCAGCGGCGGAGCAAAAGATGCACCACTTCGGCAAGACCGCGCGCGGCTCAAGCCTGCCGCCACAAGCATCCGACGTCGGGATACAGCAAGACGCCGGAGAGCAAGGATGCACCGAAAAAAATGCACCACCACGGCAGGACCAGTGGAAGACTGTAGAGCCAAAACGGGCACAGAGCAAAATCCTTTTGTTCGGTGTCTCAAAAAGTGTTTTCGTTTGGTCCGCCACAGCCGAAGATGGTGGATCAACAAGCATGCGATAAAACACAAAATTTGTCTCCCAAAGACAGTTTTGCTTTGCTTTGCACAAGCCGGAAACGGTGTCATGCCCTTACATAACATCATCTTCTGATAGGGTTCTCAGGAAAAGCACTTTCAAAACTTAGCCTTGATGCTTACAAGATCAAAGCGCAAAGCCCTGAAGCTTCAAGCGGCATACGTCAAAAACCTCAGTTCACGACCAGGGTACCCCTCAAAGCTTTTTCCATTGCTTCCCATCACACAAACTTTACTTCCCATCACACAAAGAATCCTTGAAAGAGCCTGTGGCCTGCCCCGTGAGTTTTGAATTAGTACTGCAATTCGAGCAGCAGAGAACTGACCTCACGACGACATACCGGCTTCCAGCTGCCAGGTTTAGGGTTCCGCATGTTCCTGAACTAAACCGCAACGCAACTTGCAGAAACATAGGACGGGTCTTCTCTTGAAACATGATGCGTTGTTAGCCTTCGACAACAGTCGATGATTCTGCCTCTTGAGGAACGAACTCACGATGGCAGTGCGAGCTTTGAGGCATTCACATTAACTACAGCCCCAAGGCCTCAAAGCCTGAATGAACTACCCTGGACCCTGCCTGGCCCTAAACCTGACGGACGCCTTGAAACGTCTGAAATGCGTAGGTGTCCTGAGGTTGCGAAGATTTCAGGTCGCGTCAAGAAGTTGATCGCCGCTCTTGTTTTCGCGCTCTCCCTGGCCGGACCGTGCAACCGTGACCAGGGATTTTACAGTTTTCCAATATCCAACCTGTAAGCTTCTGGGTTCTCTATTCTCAACGTTTATTAGCTTACTGCTTTCATATGAAGGAGGGAGATCAGAGCTGTTTAAGTTAAGATGAGCAGGAACGTCCATAAAGCGGATGGTATTGAGATCCAAAGTCTTGGACCCCTTAAATCAGAACATACTGCAAATAGAGCTCGAAAATATTTCCAACCACTTTGAATTTAAGAACAGGGTTTTGCCACCGGTTCCAGTCTTTGTTGCCTGCAAGGGGTCTAGGATGTAGATGATGATGATGGAGGTTGAGGGTCAAGCCACATATAGTTTAAGGAGACTCTAAGCAGGCAGCATGCAGGGCCTTCGGCTTTGCCTCTCAATCTCCGAACCTACAAAAACCCCTACCGAACCCTTCTTGGAAAAGAAAGCTAGTTCATGGACCCAACTGGGTTGAAGAATCTCGAGATTCCCAGTTTCCTCATGCGAGTTGGCAGTGCAGCTTGTGACGGGTGCCGACGGTTTTCAATTCCTTTGGCAGTCAGGTTTGTATGCTAACGATGGATTGACAAGCTTGGGTCTGACACGGTCAGGTCTCAGTCCCCTCCCAGCTTGTCCAAGACAATGACTGGAGCATGCGGCTGGAGTCGTATTCATAACACTTCAGCTGAGGGAGAGAGAACCTTGCTGTGGAATCGCCTTTCCAAGCACCCTGGGACTTTGATCCTGCAGCAACAGCACGTACCTCATTTGTAGAAGACATATGAAGCTTTAGGCGCATGTATAAACTCATTAAAATCTTTGTATAAAGAAAACACCACTGAAGAGCCGAGAGCTAACAGTCGCGAAGATGACTTGGAAAGGCGACGCACTGTTGCGCGATCAAGTCTTGTGACTTTACGCGGTGAAACCCATAAACAGCTCGGTTCAGGTCAAGCAGTCT